CAACTGGCATTGACAAATTAATTTTAAAAAATGTCAACTAACCCAAATGTCATCTATCCTTTATAAATATTATTATTGAACGCCAAATGGGAATTACTCAAAAAACAACAATGAACTTCAATATTTATAATACGGCGAAGAAAATTAACATCGAGTTAATTTCAAAAAACCATTTAACACAAAAAAAAATGTATAAATTAAAAATCAAATTGAGATTTGAGGTGCTGTTGGTGAACGGATCAATCGCCGCTCAATCGTTTAATTCTTTATTTATAATCTTAATTTTATTTTCAAATGTACTTATCATGAACTGTTGAGTGCATATACTGCACATATTTTACATTTTTTTTAACAATAAAAATAAACATGCATATTATTTGTTAACACATAACTTATATAGCGTCTACTGAACTAACTCCATAGTTAATATGTAATATGTATCGATAACTTTTCGTTATTTTTGGTTATGTGTTTACTGTTTAGTGTTATGTTTGGTTAATGCGTATACAATAGTTTATTATATTGATAAGTGAAGATAACCGGCATGTTATCTGCAAAATATTATACGTAACACGCAGTCATATAGATACCCGATGCCATGAAAAAAAAAACGGTGAAATGAATAATGACGATGGACGTTAAAACCCCTTCATCAGTTTCCACATATTATTATTGTATCATATTGTTTCGTTTTAATACATAAGTCTTTACACTGTCCGGCGATGAAAGTAAAAGTGTTAATCTCAATATCTTCTCGTAACTTGTGATTTAACACAGTACTTACTCCGCAATCCGTATAAGTAGGTACGTATAATTCAATTTCGAAACGTGAATAATAATATATTATTAGACAACTCCTGGCTGTAAAATCATAATAATAATAATAATAATAATAATAATGTATAATATGTTCGAGTTTACAAGCATATATAAAACACACTACGACGCATACACGACCGTCGATTTGTTCCGTGATTTACGTGCAGTTCAATAAATGTATAAACTAATTATCATATACGTTTCCAACCGTGAACGAGATTATTTCATCGGATTATCGGCATATGGGTACCTATATACAGATCACGGTTTACACAATGCAGGAAACGCGTTTCGCGGGGAAAACGATTGAAAACTCCGTTTTCCGTATGTTACACGTCCTATATAGACATATTATTGTAATAATATGACACTAATAAAATAAATAACACTACCGACGTATCGTATGATGATAATATTAGGATCGATCGAAACGATTTACACTGTCGACTCCCAAGGATTAAACGCTGCTATGAGCGTGAGTGTAACACGTGGGTTAATTGACGTTTGAAACACTATAAAGTGCACACCATGAAACAAAATCGACATTGTAACCAGAGTACGTCGACAATAATAATCATTGATTGTATAATTCGAGTATGGGACGCTGATGTGCAGTAGTTCGGTTATATTATATACTTACCAAGCAACGTTATTATACAACACGACGTGGTCGTTGGAAGATATCAGTCGAGTGCGTCTCGCGTTTAATTTTTCGTTTCCCATAGCCCGAGTGCATCAGAAATCTTATTGATAATATTTAATAGCCCGAGATCGTCCCAAGTCCACAGCCAAAGATTTATTATGTAACAGATCGGACGATTGACTATTATTAATAGCACAAAATACGTACAACTACATAGGTACTACGCAATTTGTTCGACTACCTAGATAAACCACATTTTAGTTGATCCTCGATAATAACTGAGCACGACTACGACTCGTTTACGGTCAACCGTCAATAAGTGCGAGTTGTGAACCGATGCGCGAAGCAGTGCCGTAATAAATAAATAAATAATATATACAGTATACCTACACGTGTTTTTAATATTTTCAATATTTTCAAAAAATGTATAATTATTTATTTATTTATTTCAAACATTACGGGCAGAGCCCAATTCATTACAAGTGTACACTAAGTATAAAATTACATTTAAATATTTAAATATTAATAATTACATTTTTAATAGAACAGTAAATAACAATTATAACAATAAGATTAGTTTAGGTAGGGAATGATGGTTGTTCATTTGCTATGCGCATCATAGTGATCATACGATAGATAGGATTATTACGGCCGTAGTTTGTAGAGCAATTTGGGATGGAGAATGTTGTATAAGAATTATAATGTTGTATAATTATAGATAATAAGAAAAAAAATATCATTAAAATTAGTACACTCAACCAAACTTAAAGCGCTTAAAAATGGGTATATATACTTACACCAAAATAGTAAAAAAAATAAAAAAATAATCAAATATTTTTAGGATATGGACCAGAGTTCACTTTTTGTGATCTACCCAGGGTAACTTAAATAAGCTGGGAAGCATTCGGGCTACGTCAAAAATACGATATTTTTTTCTTGATACGCATTCAGGTGATACCTTGTATTCCGGACGCACTCGGGAAATAAATAACGGCCACTCAGGACGCACTAGGGATGATGACCGTCATTTCACCGGATTGCAATCGTCATCAACGCCATAATATCATTCGCTGTGATAATGAGCATATATGGTGCATGAGTAAATGATTGCAGATCTCTGCTGCAACTGCATTTGGCGCCACCGAACAGGCGGGGAGGTGTGCTCCGGATTAATTGCAGGTAAGTATACGTTACCGCCGAATAACGATGTGTACCTATGATATTATTATGATATAGATACGCTATTATTGTAGGCGCAATTTAAGAGGGGAGTGGGGCTTGAGTGTGCTAAACACTGCAAATAGAACTCCCGGTTATGAAATTAGCACCCTCGCCAATGATGCCATATTTATTATGCTTGGTTTTTGGTTTTGAGTTTATGTTAATAGTTAATACATAAATGTATTATGTACAGTAGTACAAAGTCATTATTATAATATAGCATTCATATACGATAGGTAGTCGAAATTGTTTAGGAATGGGGAAAGGATGCGAAGTGGATCATCCTTTAATCTATGATCGCGATACTATAACTGAAAAATAGTGGTCACCGTATCAATAAAAAAATTATGATAAATTTACCAAATAATATTATATTTTGCACATTCAGATCATTATTTATTTATTTATACATGATTCACAATAATTCTTAATCATTTTTACTCATTTTAAACCATGTATCACCCATAATAATTTCTATGATTCATTTTATACTCATTTTAAAACACGTTTTACACCATAATAATTTATATGATTTATTTTTACTAATTGTATAACAATACGAATAGTTAGGTACATTATTAATTACTTGTGTTCTTTTACACTGGTGGCTTATCACAGGATATCAATTTTATCAATCCCCGGCAGAGTTTTTTCGTCGAAAATGCGCCCCTGGCTATTTTTGTTATCATATAGTTGACACCCTCGGCGACTGCAGAAGTCCTGTTTAGCACGGCGAACAATAATAATTTATAATATTATACAATACCCAGACAGATTCCAAGTCCCCGGGACTCGTCACTCGACGGCATTATAATATTATTATCACTTCGGCAGTGTACGCCTCGTGTAATGCGAACGTTTAATTAATTTCTAGCTTTCCGTGCAATTATATTATTATTCCGTTCGTTTCGGCCGTCGTGTCTGGGACGCGTCTCGCATGTCACAATGCATCGTGTATCGCAAACGTCGCAGTGTATAATAATATTCTTTCCAAAAATAAAAACATTTTAATATTATAATAACTGCGCAGGTTACGCGTACACGTTATATTTTAATAAATCGTTTTACATATTATATTTTATTCCGAAAACGTTCCAGTTCAATCGCCTACGATGTGTTATTTTACACATGCCATACATATTATTATATATTTACATAACGCCTACTAAAACGGCGAAATAATATAATATTGTATCGTTATAATATTATTATTATTATGTCTAGGCCGTATTTGTTTGTAAAGACCGTTTTAATAAAATATTACGATATACCTACGCGGATGGACAATATGACTTTTTTGCACGTTTCGTTGATATGCGATTCAAATTCAAAATTGCGTTACATCACGAACCTAAACCTGAACCACACTAATTTGTTTTATAATCCAAAGATATAATATTATAAATAGTAATTTAAAATTGTTCTATTTTTAAACATTCGTTCGACCGATAGAGGTACGCCTAAGTACAATGATTATAGGTACTGTACCTATTTTTGAAAAAAAACTTGTTTAGTTTTATTTTGTGGAGGACCGAATATTATTATTTTTATATTATGTAGGTATAATTTTTACACGTATAGTATTCAATGATCCAATAAAGCAATTGAAAAAAAAACTCTATATTATTATGGTTAGTTCAGAAAATGATTCAGTTAAAAAAAAATTAAATTATAAATCATTATAATAATATTATAAGCACTTTAAAGTTAAAAGCTTTATGAATGTTGAATTTAATTTCTAAGATTTACTACAAGACTTACTGTATTAATGCCCCGGACCCAATTTTCGACAAGAATATGATTGAATCTCATTTAATCCTGTACCCTATATAATACGATTTTCCGTTGCAAGTAAGTACCATCGTTGCCCACTACTATACTGCAACACATTTTCGACCGCACACAAAACGGTTCAATGTCAATGCGTGTATTATATTATGGTCATCCAGTCGTCTTTTGGGCGTGAATTTTGAAGGTCAGAGGGCATCCGGCAATATCATTATATAGACTATACAGAGGACCGCACTGGCAAACGTGATAATAATTTTTCAAACGCGTCCAAGTTTCCACCACCGAACAACAACAACAATAGCACCATTCCCACGTGACTTTTTGCCGGCTATGATATCATCGTCGTCCCCGCTTCTATCCGACAGGAGAACATTTTAACGCTCTCTTTTCCACGACGACGGCGACGTCTAAAATATCCTCATTCAACGGAGCTCACTAATCTTATGTAAGTCGAACCGTGTATACCGATATCGCTCGCTAGACGGACTGTCACTCCGAAGACGACGACGACGACGACGACAGTAAAATGACGAGTGAGTAACAACAAATAATAGTAAAGCCAAAAGTAAAAACTCAGTTCTCTGTATATGTACGTAATGTAAATTATAATAATATCCTATATAGGTACGACTTTTATTATTCGACTTGCACGCGTTCGCTTCATTTCGTCGGTTCTATATATTATTATTATTATTATTATGTGTGTGCAGGAAAGTTTTCGAAAGACTAGGGGCGAAAAACTAGCAATTTAAGACACGCTCTGTGACTACGTCGTTAGGTTTATCCGTGCAGCGCGGTTGATCGGAATTAAGTTTTAATGCCGGTAACGAGCAGCAAAATTATTTCAATAGCTGTAATAACATTACAGTGGACATTTATTTTTATGTAATTTACCACATAACATTTCTTTCAAAAATACGAACATATATGACCGTCACGTGGGATATATGTATAGAATTGAGACTTGGTATTTCTTTTAAGTCTAATTATTATAAATGTATAGGAATGACCGTAAAAATACTATACATAGGTACTATTATTTAGAAAATTATCTATGAATTGAAAAAAATATGTGCTATACAGGTAAATCTTTAACTCTGTCTCTCTCTCTCTCTGTCTCTCTCTCTCTCTCTCTCTCTCTCTCTCTCTCTCTCTCTCTCTCTCTCTCTGTCTCTTTCTTTCTCTCGCAATTCACAATATTAAGCCACAAAATCTGTTATATACCTACCCATCGTTTTGCGTTTTGCGTTTGTAGTTATAGTCAGTTATAAAGACACAATTTATACCAATCATCTAATAAATAATAACCATGTAATATAACATTTTATGAAAATATATTCTTTAATTTACTTAAATAATATTTATTGTATTTTTTAATGGTATTAGGTACCTACAAAGCTCTTTTAAACCACCGCCCTATTATCATTAATATAAATGCATTATACTTGAATAAAATTAGCCTGAAGTAGACGTTTAATAATATTATAGTACCTAACCTCTCGGTTTCTAAAATTCACGAAAGCAAAAAATAAATCTCAAATAATCTAAAAACGAATAAAACGTATTTATTTACCTAATAATTTGCATAGAACATTTCATTGGGATTGCTTTTTCTTTGAATTATGTACAATTTCGAATATTGATTCTACTATACCAGTTTAATAGTTATTTGAAGTTCCTAGGAATATCAAAAACATTAAATAACTCTTTAGAGTTCATGATATCAATATATTAAAATATATAATTTATAGGTAGGTATAAAATTAAAAACGAATACTAAAATTATAAACAAAACATTACAAAAAACATCAAAAATAAACGAAAATAAATTCTATATAAATATATAAAAATGCATAATAATATATTAGTTTGTTTGAAATAAGACATTTTTTTACTGGTATCTGATTTTAAATGTTTTATTTTCTGTAAGTACCAAAAAGTCATTATCCACTATGTTAACAAGGCATTTGTATATTTAAATACCTGTTTATTGTAAATAGGATTATGTCTGTATAAGTTGTTTAGTGCACTAATTAATATTTTTCTACCATTATCCTAAATAATGTTGTTAAATAAAGCAAAAAAATAATTATGACAAAATTGTACTTTTTTACCATACCAGGAAAAGTTGGTTTCATGTTATGATTAACACTTATACTTTGATGGTTTTTTTTTTATAGAATTACTTTTATTTCGCGCTTACAAAAATAAATAAAATAATAATATTTCCGTGAATAATGTTTTCATTTTATTGTAATGAGAACACTTTTGCATTATATTTTAACCACCAAACCCTCATCAAATGACCTATTATGAAATCTTTATTTTCATTGTCTTTCATAATACATTAATATTATTATTATTTACTATTACATGCATATATTATACAATAATAACACTAGAATAATTATATAGGTGGGTACTAGGTAGTTACAATGTTCACATTGAACGTGTAATTTTCGAATAAACCCCAGTAATATGGCTAGAAAATAAATCATTCCAATGATGAATTAAAATTAGTTTTACCAACTATCTTGTGTTATATAACCACAAAATTATTAAGAAAACTATAAAAGATGATTTAATAATAATTCCTGCAGATCCACGCTGGTGAATACTTTGTTCATAACGTTACGTTGAAAACTTAAAAAGACGCTTTACGCTTAAGGTGTTATTTACTAAATCGTTGTTTGGTATAAATTATTATGTATACCAAAACTAACTAACTAACTAAGTTTGAATTGAAAATTTGTTTTGCTGTTCGACACAGTCCGTTGTTACTAACATCATCAAATAAAACATATACCTACCTATGATGAATCGTATTATTATATTTAATGTTTAAATGTACAACGCTTTTAAAGAAACAGCCACTATGCACTGCGGGATATTATAATAATATTATCCGGGCACCAAGCTTACAATAATTATTTATATTTCCCAATATTTTAATGAAACTCTATAACCATCGCTGACATAACAATAATAATAATAATAATACGACGATCGCCGGCTGTCTTAAACGGTGAATATCTCATAGGTATACCGACGACGAGGACAACAGATCGAATTGACAAGGTCTCGCGGCCTTGCGTGTATCAAAACATACATAAGCGTTACAATTTGGCCGCGTGGGAGCGTTAAGACTTACTGGCTCGCGATATGATGGGTGAAATGGACATATGAAATTAACGATACCGGTAAACCTAATGGGCAATATAATAATGATAATATAGTGGCGATTCGGTGTCAAGGCAAACGTGGGAAAAACCATTGGCCATCACAGTAACAATAGCGAATGTCCGAATATTTTGATAAACACGTCAAGCTCATAACCATAAACGACGATTCGGGTGTACTCGAATAACTGAAGTCAAACGAAATTGATTCGATTATTAGTCAATATAAAGATCCGCATAAAGACGCGTGTTAAAATTTAAAATATTATATAATTCGAGATTATCATTACTCTATTGATTGAAGAGAAACTATTATTAATTGAGTTTGGACAAGTCGAGTCGTCTATGCGTATGCATAGAATGGAAACTGCAGTCGACAAAAAATGATCATAATAATTAATAATATTTATTCCATACATGAGTCAAATTAATTTGTGTAATGAAGACGAAGAATTTATATTTTAATGAAAGAAAAAACACAATTTAATGTGCATAAATTGTAAATTAAATTTGATTTATGATGATTTTAAATTGCTAGTTTTCAATCAAAATTTACATACGGATAGGTACATATCAATTAATAATAAAGCATCGTTGTGAACCAATAAGATCATAGAAGAACACATCTTAATAAAAATAAATAGACGATCATAAATAAATTTACATGAGAAAAACACGAATGGTTGTTGGATTCATCATAAACGTAAGCAAGTAGTTTTCCTTCAAAATTAGGCTCGAACCAATGACAATTTATTCAAAGTAATAAAATAAAGTTACATTTTATATTTATTCATATTTTGAAACCTGCTGTATAGAATTAGAATTGTTATACTTGAGGTATTTGAGTCTTTCTCTTATCAGTATAAGCAATATAATTATGAGTTGGCAAAACTACAATATTCATCATCCCACTATTATAGTCACTGATTATAATATTTGTATGAAATCTGTATAAATGTTAATATTTTGTGATAGATTATTTTGCTAATGGAGTTAATTATTTTTAATTATATAATAATTAAAATCAAAAATAACAAACACATATAGCTATGAACGAAAATTAAAAAATGAATTTGAAGGCAATATAGGTATCTAATAAGTTTTGAAATTAATATCTGAATAATGAAAATGAATAACTTAAAAATATAAAATAAATATAATTTGTTTACATAAACAAAATATTTAACATTAATTAATTTATAATTAAATTGTTATAATATGTATAATTAGTATAATTATAAAAAAATAATGTGTCAGATGTCTTAGAAAGATAAATTGTAATTTTTTTTTTTATATAATTGTTTATTAGGCCTTATATTATAAAGTTAAACGAACAATAAGCTCAACTCATAAAATAAATAATAAATTAAAATCTTAAGTAAAGAGGCCTCTCAATGGAGGTATTTTGTCATGAAGTAAACATGTATTTAAACAATAATAGTTTAACAAATCTAGAAATATAATGTTTAAGATCAACCCAAGTTTAAAAATAAATAAGGTGATATTTACCATACATTATTTAAGTTTAAACTTTGACTATTTAACCAACAAGTTTAATTTTTAGGAATAGTTAATTTTAAATTCATAAAAGGTATTTAAGAGGACGCTACACCCGCATGTGTTGTCTCCGTCTTACACACGTACGACATAGACAAAACACGTTTAGGCAGTCTGAGTATAACTCTCTCAATTTTGGTTCTAGAGTAAAAATGCCTATTATGAAATTGAATTGTGATAATATTTCTAAGGGCAAGACGCTGCGGTTTTTCCATTATACCCAATATAACGTTCATTATATCGTTTAGAAATAGAAAAAATTTCACCATTTTTAAAATACCTTTGACTTTTAAAAAATTAAATTTTTTAAAAAAACCGCAGCGTCTTGCCCTTAGAAATATTATCACAATTCAATTTCATAATAGGTATTTTTACTCTAGAACCAAAATTGAGCGAGTTATACTCAGACTGCCTAAACGCGTTTTGTCTATGTCGTACGTGTGTAAGACGGAGACAACACATGCGGGTGTAGCGTCCTCTTAACGAATATATTATGTTGCCTTTCACAACGATCTAAAATTACTAACAGTCAACAAACTTGCAAAAAAACTATTATTCCTATAAAATATTGCTTTCAAACTTAACGATTTGTATTCTCTCACATTAGGTACCTCAAAATATCCATCGTTGATTCAAAATAAATTGATCCAGAGACTCATTATAATAAATAATTAATAGGTATTAACTAACTCTGAAGTTCTATTTCAGTATTTCCTGTTCACAACTTCCATGTTGTTACACATAAAGTTTATACTCATAAATATAACGTAGGTATTGTTTATATTTGACAGAATGTATAATATACTTTAAATTAATAAATTTGAAAAAAATATACTATTACGTCTGGCACAGACCACTAACGTTTTAAAATAAGTACATACGACTGCAACAGTCTGCAGTATTCGATTACATCATAATCATGGAATCTTCAACAAAAACATTTAATACAATTCAGTATTTTGTTCATTCTATTTCAGTGTTTTTAAAAATTATTTTCAAGTTGAATTTCGAGTAAATAGTATCACATATTAAATGTATTGTGAATTGTTAACTTAAATTCAGTCAACCAATAAAATTAGGACATCTGTTCCAATGGTAGGTATCATCAACTATTGTGGAACGTTCATGGCCTATAATCTTTCTCAACACTAATGTCATGGTATCTTAACACGATAATAATATTATTGTATTTATACCATACCAAGAGATTCTATGATATACTTAAAACGACTGTGTCTCTTATTGTTATAAGTGTTATTTATTTATACTAAACAATTAAATTCAATGAATGCACTTCAATGATTATATTTTATCAAGTAATAAATACAAAATAATATGCATGTATAAATTCAACACTATTTGATTAAAAAAAAAAATGTATATGAATGTCGAACAATATGACAATTAAAATGTTTCAACTAAAATAGATTTGGCAATAATTGAGAGAAAATGATCAAAGCACGACAACAACTTAGGTATTCATAAATTAATAATTTATACACTATACCTACGACAAAACTTTACAGTCAAAAATACAAACAATACTTTATTAGTTTTTTTTATTATTATTGGAATGTCACTGACGCATTGTGCGTAACGGTAATGAGCAATATTTTTAATACATCCAGATCAGAAAATAAAACTAGATAATGAAACTATAGCATAAAAAACATAATGTCATAATTTCAATAATTTAATATAATACTTTGGATTATGGTAAAAAATATTTTTTTATAGTAGGTATAGTAGAAGTTATAATTTTAATTGTTTTCATAATTTTATTTACCCATAGGAATTTTAATAAAACGATGAGTACATTGCAAAAAATAATTGAATAATTTGGAAAATTAAAAATGTATAATAAATAACCTACCTATATAATATGTATATTCAATATTGTATATATAATGAACATTATGTATACTTATATTGGTATATTTTTTTATGTCAAATAAATGTAAACAGTTAGAAGATTATTAATATATTTCTTTGATCATTATTAATTGAAAATGTTACTTTTCAATTTACTTACGATTCATCGAACAAAATTCATACGTATATCATGAGTATTTTAATTACTGTAGAGTCTTGAGTGTTACGAGAATCTACTTACCTAATATTATTACGAAACAATTTAATTTTAAACTCCGAATTAAAATCTGTGCTGGAAAACGAACTGACTACTAAATAATAATATAGTAATATGTTACGTTTTATCATTATTATCATCAAACACGATACCTATACATTAATCGTTTTAAAAATTTGATTTTAAGATTGGTAATTTCTTATTAGGTGTACATCGATCGGTACCTTCTAAAATAATACGATAGTATATTTAACTGCCTATGCTGAACATAAAACGTGGCACACTGTACGAACAATAATTAAAATTAGGTTCGTAAAATTACATACGACATAATAATAATTACGTTTTGTTTTAGAAATTAATAACGGGCCGCTTTTCACGGCATTATTAGTGTTTGTGGCTTCAACCGGCATCACTTTTGCCGACGATGACAAATGGGTATGGGGCAGATCAAACGACCAATCAAGGGCTGACTCGAGGATCGGGTCCTCGTCCGACGAGGTGATCCGAATAGCTAAACCTCTATTGCGCAATCAGCCCAACCCAAAGCCCAGTCCGTTATTCCAACCCGCCAATAACCCGAGGCTGGACACCAAACATTACAGGTGAACGATAGGATTTTTTTCTTTACTAAAATAGTAATGGATAAGACACAAAATCGGATTTAAACATTGGTTTTAGAATAAAAAAAAATACTTTTTCGTATACATTTAATTGGAAACAAAAATAGATAACAAGAATGAAAAGTTACAACAGAATAATAATATATACGTCGTGGAACTCTTGTCAAAAAATACTTTTCATTTTTATTGATATTTAAATTTTAAATAGAGCTACGGATACGACCAATTTAAATAGTATTTTAAATTAACCTACTCAAAATGTATCCGAAAACAAATATTTGAGAACAAATACAAATAAGTATTCGCAAGAAGTATTTAAATGAAATATCGAATAAGTACCTACTATTTTATTTTTACTCGAAATTGATTGTAAAATAATTTTTTTTTTATGTAACAATCCAATACCTACCAATTGATAATAATTATTAGGTTATCTCCGTTTAAATTACAGTTAGAATGGAGACATCAATACACTTAACACTTGAAGAATGAACTAAAATTGATGAAGTATTGAACTATACATTATTAATTTGCATACAAGTATAATATGATATTACATACTAAAAAAAAACAAATAGAACTTACAATATCTTAACCTTGCCATCAATAATAAAATAATTTTTCTTAAGTTTTTATGTTGGTAGGTACATAATATAATATGTCAAATACAAATAAACAGTATTATTTATAGTTTGAAAGAGTGGTTTCAATACGATTACTAATATACTGTATAAAATTGCTTCGTGATTGACATTTCGGGAAAATCATATTGTAAGTACGTGGGTTTTGTAGTGTTGGTTAAAATATTATTAATGATCGTGTTTGCATCAATTATCCTGATGTCGATTAAATAACTGCAGAAGTAATAATTAAATATTATAATTTGATGAGCAGAATAGAAGTGGTATTCTCTGGAAAGACCTGTCAGTGAGCTGATACATCCGTCGCTTAAGAATAATATAATATGTTATTTACGCGTAAAACCGACATTAATCCAAACGAAATCTTAAATCAATGTACTGCAGGGATGACTCCATACGAAACGGGCGCTATGAAGTCAACGAGGGTTATGTACCGGACAGGGAACCTTTGTTGCAGCAACCAATCCATATATCTGAGACCTTTAGCAGCAGGCCATTCGACAGACCGCCGCCGCCAAATAACCTACCGCAAAGACCTTTGACAAACTTCCAAGCACCTTTGAGACCACAGCGACCGAATGCCCTCATCGATTCCGTGCACGCGCCGTCTAGGAAACCCGTGCCCGCAGCCACCGAACCTGCTGGTTCTGCAGTCGGCATACTCACTGGACCGGTGCCGTCGTGGCAACGACCGGCGGTCCACAAAAACGGCGATCCAACGAATTTTGAAAAGTGCAAATGCTCGTTTTCTTTCAACTGTAAATCTCCCGGGATCAAGTTCGTAAGTACAATATATTATTATATTATACACTATATCGTCGAGATTTACGCGTGAATAAAAATTAATATATATATATATATATATCCAGCTGGCACGGGGCACTTTTCGAATTTATCTATTGTTGCCGAATTGTCTAGGTAGAGAGCACTTTTAAGTATTTAATTCAATTGAACACAGACTCTAAAGTATCAAATTAAATTAAAGTTGATAAAGTACCTATACCGAATTAAAGGGAAACAAACTAAGATAATTGTCTAGCATGTGGGAAACATCGTTCTTTATCTTGATAAAACTAAAACCAATAGTTTTAATTAAACCAACGTTCTCTGTAAAGGTTTAAAAACCACAAATCATGAACAAATAATTGAATTTGTAATATTTATTCCAAAACAACGTAACTACTAAGTACTAACTACCTATAATAAATTACATTTATTGTAAGTGGAAAAAGTCATAACATACATCGCTAATAAAATGTTTGAATTAATTTTAAAAACGTAGAACAAAATGTGTTTTTATGTAATTCAATTCAATTTTTACGTTCCGCTGATTTTATCAACAATTTTTCAATTAGCTAATCAAATAAACAATATTGAAATAATTATTAGGTAGGTACATGTAGAATTTTCGAGGGAATATTTTGATTTTTATGGTGCCGAAATGATCAATATTGTCTTTAATAAAACAATATTACAACCAAACTAACTTGGCTATCGTATACTCTTTAATTTTCGGATTTCAGGAAAATGTAGAAAACAACAAGGACCTGCATAAAAAAAATATGTGTAAAAGAAAACGACGAGTATTTAGTAATTTATATTTATTACCGTATAATTAAAATTCGAAATATTACTGTTTTTAATTACATAATACCTACTAGGTTTTTAATGAACGGTATATAAACCATCAGTTATCCCACAGCAAACTGTTCTCTTTTACCACTTATCTCTAATACATTTACCTCTCTGCGTGATTAAAATAAAAGTTTAAATGAAAGAATACGCTTTAAAATTGTAAAAATAGACTTTTATAATAAATACATTCACTATATTTAATATTTATCATTCATCCCTTTGAAAGTAATCATTTTATTATGTTTTCTGGTGCTACCACCATTTAATATTTTATATTCACTAGCCGAATTAAAGGATCGTCAAACAAAATAAGTCTTCTTATCTCAATATAATATTATCTCGTTAAAAATGTGTTTTTACAATGAACCATGTTAATACGATTTATAGTATTATATGTATAATATATATATAATATATATATATACCTACTATGTGGGATGTGGATTCCAATTTCCAAACACCGTGTATAGTCGTGATCATCTTAACTTTTTCTTTGTCCTGTGAGATTCGAACAATTACATTATGTGACATGCGTTTTTGTGGGGGACAAACAGTTTGCGGTGGCTACACACATGCAGCTCATCATACTATTAATCGGATTAGAGCAAACCCCTTTTGTCATCTTCTAAATAAATACGAAAAAGTCTTTATATATATTTCTTACAGACTCATAACTTACAAAACATTGATAATACAAGTTTTTCATTTAAATGAAAAAAAAAATTGTTTTGGGTTATAAATAAAACAAGAGAAAATAATAATAATCAATTTATTATTAACAGCTGTCTGCAGATATTTCATTAACACATGATTAATTAATGTATGTGTTTCAGGGAAGCTGCGATGAAGGAAAACAATACTGTTGCTACAACGATTTTGATGGTGCGAATTCAGGAAGCCAAGAAGTAGACAAATATGGAGGAGATCGAAGCGAACCCATACCTTCCGTGTTAGTTGGTCCCGGTGGAAGTCACAGGCCTGGTTTGAAACCTGGCATATATGGACAAGTTTCTAACAAAAATGTAAGAACCACAAATTGTAAGTGCATGATATACGCATATTAATATTAGTCTAAGGCAATTGCATAATGTAATTAGTTAAGACAAATAAAATTAACATTGATTTGCTTTAGCCAAAATATTAACTACAAAATAAAATATGAAACAAATTTATATTAACAATAACTATATTATTATATGAAGATGTAGTTTTATATATTATTTTAAAACATTGGTGGTGCTACAAAAACTAATCCTGAGTGAAGCTCAGATAATTATTTTATGTTTTTGAGTGGATAGTTAAATTTCAATGTATAGCAAGAATACAGTTTATCTCGTACTTCAATTTTATTTTAGACTAAGACACCTAAGACTCCAAATAGGTATATTATTATAATAAATATATAGTATGAAAATATAATATGTTTCACTGTGATTTCATTGTATTTAAATGGCTAGGTGTAAGAATTATGAATTATTTTTAAGACTTCGAAAAATATAAAAGCAATAAATAAAATCTGTAGGTACTCATTAGAATTTAAAAATATAAATAAACTTAAAAAACTAATACTCGAGTTCAATTTAAATATTTGTTTATAAGTTTATAACATTTATATTACTGATTGTATTAAACGAATAGCATATACCTAACTTGAGGAACTCGAAAATCGTAAGAAAATATAACTCTATTTTTTTATTGTATTTTATATTTTAATTACAATACTGTATAATATATTGTTAAAAAATTGTTTCTGAGTAGGTACTTTCATTAATGAATTGCAATTTTAATTTGTTTTTAATTACAATACAATTTTTAGGAACATATTGACCGACAAGAATTTACTGGTAACAGTTTTCCAAATGAACCATCATTCAACAGACGACCAAATGAGTATGGAAATAATCCTTTTATTATTCCAAGACAATTGTAGGTATATAGTAAATCATATTATAAATAAATTTAATTATTATTATATTTTTTTTATTTGAATTATATTATAATTTAACAAATGCTAATTTATAACTTGATTTATATTTCATTATAAAACACATACTGTAAAATATCCGTTATTTATAGTAAGTGTAGGTACTAAAAAAGTATTTTTACATATACAAGATAAAATAAAAAATATTTTACGTCAGCTAGAATAAATATGATATTTATTGTATATAATATAATATTTGTGTAATGTGTGTACGTCTTAATCATATTCATATAGATACTTGATTTCATTTTTAAAAAATTCTTATAAGGATGAATTATATGTGAGATTCTAAATGTATTTTTAATTATTATGTAATTAATGTTTTTTTTTTGTATAAAGCTAGCTTATACATAATAATAGCTTACAACAATTAATTTATTATGCAATTTTTTTTTTTTACATAAGTACCTATCGATAATTTATCTTATACTAGCAACAATGCAATATATTGTAAACAGTATTCTAGACATATAGGTTTTGTATTAGTTATTTATTTATATTTTATTTTAGAAGGAAATAAATTATCATTATGTTATAGCCTATAACGAATAGGTAACATACATTTTTACAACATATGTTTTCTTTCATTGCATTATTATGTACTCAAATATCATAACATCCAGATGCATTATATTGCACACACCGCCAATTATAATACATTAGTAACATACGTATAAAGTACATGTATTCAGTGTTGTCACAAATTTTATTAAGTAAAAAACTTGTTTTCCATAAGTCATAACATCTAACAAAGTATAAAAACCAACAATACATAAAATGCAAAATAAATATAAATTTTGATAACCTGTTTTTAATGGTTATAATTTATAAATGTATGATATTCTAAATATCTACCAAACTATACTGTCAGAAACAAAAAATTATATAATATTGTATTACTTTTTTTTATTCAAATTTTTTCTATAAACGATTGTTATTTTTGTGCTTTAATGTATATTATATTATATTACACACTGTCAAACGATAGAAAATTTCAGGTAGATTGTAATATTAAAATAAATATGATAAAAAATAAAAATATATGAATAACAAAAGTTTGTTTTTTAAGGTTGACTATCAAACGAATATTCTCGTAACATAATGAATTCAAAACCTATTAATTGGCTAGTGCTTATAAGAACCTATAAATATTAAAATATGCACTGTGAACATGGCCATACAAATTGTAAAAATAAACGATACAAATATGCAAAAATAAACGATACAAATATGCAAAAATAAATAATTTATTGACGAATATTTGGCTGAGTGTCTACAAAAATATTAAAATAGTTGATCTCATGAATTAAAATACAGTGGCTAGTAAGAAATAAAACGTTAAAAATAATGTAGATAATTTAAAAAAAACATATAGTAAAATGAGGGTTGACAATGACAAGTGATCTAATGAAGGTATTATATTCTCTATCTTGATAATACTCAAGATAATATTATATTTATAAGGTATACTTACGTTTGAAAAAAAATATTCGATTTACTAAATTTTAAAGGACTGTTCAAACTACAAAGGTAAATTTTTCAGGAGAAAGTATGAAAACTCTACAGCCAGTGGCGTATTTTGAAATTTTTTCTGGGGGGGGTCTAAATATTAGGTACCTACAAGTTTATAATATAAAAAAAACACATACTAGTTACGATGTAATAATTATATTATATTATATTTTTTTCTGGGGGGGTCCAGACCCGGGGACCCCCCCCGTAAATACGCCACTATCTACAGCAACATATGTATACTTGTGTAATATACGCTTTTGATACTATTTGACTTTTGTACAATACTAAGTTTGTAGTTCTTAGGTACTCTGGTAAGTACCTATGATGGCTACTACGTGGTTTTGCTGCCGCTTTTGTCGAATTAATGGCTTTATTTATACATAACGAAATTTAACTTGTTTTTGCATCACAACAGGCGCAACACAAAATCTCAGACCAAAATTAATTTTTCATATGCAACGTTTGAAAGTCTAATTATAAGATAAACATTTTCGAATATCTTAGCTATCTACCTACTGTAATGAGTCCACAGGTGACTGATCCAATTGTCAGAATTTACACACAATTAAATATTATGGAACACAATTAAGTGGGGTTGATGTATTATCATTAAAGTCTGAAAATAATATTACTAAAAACCATACCAAATTACAAAAATTATTTTTTTTCGGAAAATAATAAACCATATTGTTCTTATTATACCTATTATAAATAAAAGTCTGTAATATTTATTTTCTGCTCATGGAGAAATTTAATTTTTCGATTATATTTTATACACTTAAATTAGTTGCTATTAAAAACTCATTCAAACAGTTTTGTGATTTATGTATTTAGGGCATTATTTATTAAATTATAATATTATTTAAATAAGCAAGTTAATAATAATTATGACATTATGAATTAATATAAATATAATATTTTTCATACAAGAAATTTACATTTATGAATATAATAAAAGAATATACCCGTACATTTAAACGACAATATTGACTAATAGTTAGTACTATTATAATAGCTAAGTGCCTAAGTAGGTACTTTAGGTACCTACTAACAATAATATGTTTAGAATCACCCAAATTGCCTCCTGAATCTCATAGTAGATTGCTTTCTCATGTATTGCATCAATTCCACCAGACCTTCCTCTTCCATTTGGTATCGATTTTGCAACGAAAAGCAGCAGTTAATTCACTATATTCCACCAATTTTAAATTGTAAGGTACTGTTTTGAATACTAAAAAATTGCCATTTAGTTGGATCAGAAAAACAAGGGGAAAATATAAACTTCCCGAACAAAAAATACAAATAGGAAGTAATTAATTTTGAATTGACATTTGTTACGAATATATTATATGTTTTGTTTTATGTTAGAGCTGTAGGTACATCCTGAATTTGTTTGGGTAAAAATAAAAAAACATAAAATTCGGCACCTATAACGATGTATCTTGATTTTAGTGTAAGTACCTAAGTTCACGGGCAAATAGGCATCGTTGTACCTCGCTTTTTGAACTAATTTGACCAAATATCATCACACTTAAGTATGATAAATATACCAATTGTTATATTTTCGAACGTGATTCACATATCACTCTAGTAGGTACACTACTCTCTAAACTTTCCTGATATTTCTATAAGAACAGTCTCTCAAACATTCGTCAAAATTGGTGAGTTTTTTTTTAGTCAATAAGATAGGACATTGTATTTTGTTATACATTTGTATGACAAACGATAATCAAATTTTTTTTTTTTATTTAAAAAAAAGTCCAATATGGCGGATTGGCTAGTCATACTAATTTTATTTTTAAATCGTATTTCTATAACCAATGGAAACCCTATATGTATATATTATAAATGACAATAAAATATTTGATTTTCATGACCCACCCTATAACAATTTATAAGTTTTGAAAAAAGCTAAAATCACCCTCCGAGTATTAAGGAATAATTATATCTATTGAAATAACTAATACTGAAATCGGACGAGTAGTTTTTGAGATTAGCCGTTAAAAAAACTCATTTCACTTTTATATATATACATAGATAGATAGATAGATAGATAAATAGAAAGTTCCATAATATTTTTTGTATATATACAATGGACTTCATATACATAGATAAATGGAAAAATAAATATATTTCTAATTTATTATTTAGACGGTTTTGTTAAAATATTAAACACCATTATAACAACAATTATGTAATATTATGTACAAATTCATGAAATACTATCCATTCATTTTTAACAGTCATAATGATTTATCGAGCATCAATTTATTGTGTCAGGGATCCAAAATATATACATTATGGATGTAATAACTACGATTGTGTTTGATGTTTGCAAATATATTTGAACCAAGAACAACATTTTAATTTTAAACAAATCGTTTAATATTAATAAATCAATATTATATGTACAGGAGACAATATTCTCGGAAAAAAAGGATCAACTACTGAACTACCTGATGAACATAATATTATAGAAGTTAATTCAAGTGACTGTTTTTATTAGATTCTGGTGTGCCAAAACACTTATCATTTTTTTGATAGTAAGTACAGTGTGCACCAATTAATAGGTAAAAATATTTACCTAACGATAGAACATCATCCTACCCTCAACAGATACTGCTTTAAAATATTATTATTATAAACCCTAAGAGGAGCAAACTTACTTTAATTAATTAATGAAACTGAATGCACGTAACAATAGAAATAATAATTATGTTTGAGTGTCTACATTTTTTAAATAAAGTTTACTTACTATAAGATTACTTTAATGAGGTTTTCAGAATACTCTTTATGCATCATTAAAAAATGTATTATTTTGTTTATGTCAAAATTGTGCTAAACGAAAATCCAAACATTTATTATTATGATATAGGCACTTGAAGTGATTCAAAGGGATTTACTCAAATTTGTTTAATCTTAGATATAATATATTACAGTTAGTTAACATTTTTAGTTAATTCCATTTAATGAAACTAAATATAGAATTATAGAATTTTATTTAATAAACAAAAAAACTATAAAATATATTATATATGTACCCGCCCATGCACTCAAAAATAGTAAGATAATACGCACGAATAACTCCAAAATATCCGTAATCATTGTGCTATATAATCTTAATAATATATTTTCGTAATAAATTATATAGTTTGAATAAAACAAATAAATTATAGGTGTGTACATAAAATGTAGCCCATAGGAACATATTATATTATTATAATACAAAAATAAACTTTTTACACTAAAATATTATATAGAATTTAAATTGGTATAAAAAAATTTCAACAAATTATAATATAAAATTGTTTTTCCAAATGTGCAGTAAAAATATTGAAAACCAAACAATTATATTTATTTATTTGCACAATTGCAACCAACTTCTAAAATGTAATATTTAGAATGATTATAAAAAATTGTAGGTATTTCATTAAATTATGAGTTTAGAATGAAATTTATCAAAAAGATAATTTAAGTCACAAGCCCTTAAGACAAAACTAGAAACACAATTTTAATAGAGCAAAAAACCAATCGTAAGTCAAATCAGTGCCGCAACAACCGCAGGGGCAGCCGGGGAAATGCCCTATTGTAGAGGGAAGCTAATCGTTGGCTCAGGATGCCCCGACGTCGCCCCGCATCTATTTTAAATTTTTAAATAATTGCATTGTAATCTAATGTTTAAATCAAATAAAATATATTAAATAAAAATATTTATTTTTATAACTTATTATGCTATATAATTAGTTGTCGAAGAACGGGGCCCCTATTTATCCATAATAATATCTATATTTATCTATAAATGGTCACTGGTCACTGGGTAGTGGAACTTCACATTATATTTTTAGGCTTTTTAAAAAAAAAATCACAATAATTATTTTTTTTTTGTATAGGTACCCTATAAAAAAATATTATATTCATAGACCTATGGGGCCAGGGCCCCATACATTGACTTTGCCCGGGGCCCCAAGAATCCTAATTGGGGCACTGAGTCAAATGAGTTATTTTTGAGAACATGGTATAGCTGATTTATTTTATATCAAATATAGTTAAAGTATAGATTAGCATTATATTATTTACAGCTAAAATTTAAGTTTATATTAAAGTTATTAAATAGATAATAATATGTTATGTATAAATAAATGTATTATTATTTAATTTTTAAAACTGAAGAAGTAGGCACCTACTTACTAATATATTTTATATTTCAGAATTTTAAAAATAACATTGCACAAACTAAAGAATTAATCTTAAACTAAAATTTCAAGTTTTCCAAACTAAAATTCCAAATTTTTAACTTAACGTTTACCTATATCTTAACTGTTGTATTGTTACTATGGGTAATTCTAACATTAAATTTTCTATACTCTATATGAAACAATACGTCATGTCACTTTGGGATTTTTACATATCTACACCAAATTAGTTGTTAAAAAAAAAAGGTTAAGTGGATGTCAGTCTGCTGTACAGTAGGTTACAAAAGGGTCACTGTAGGGATGGTGTTAAATTTGAATTCAATGACATAATATCATTGTATACGAAAAACGATTCTGAGCTGGGATGGCTTGTTAGCCAAGGATAATTTATATTATATTTGTATTATTAATACGATAGCCGGTAAGTAGATTTAATATTATTTGTATATAATAATAATATACTTTAGATTTAGAAGTTTCAAGACTTCAAGTACCCACAAATAATATTTTAAATTATAACACAAAACAAAAATAGTTCTTTTTCGTTTAAATATCTAATTTCGTCCAAACTTGTACATACTTAAAATAACTATAAAAAAAAACTGTGTTTATATATTTTTTGTTACAGAATTAACTATTTCCGTAGTTACGTGGAACCTTATTTAAATTTTTAATTCTTAGCTTTAAAACTAGAACATTTTATACATTTTTAACTACTAAATAATTTGTGCATTTTCAATTTGATAAATTTCATCAACATTTGAACTTTAAATGCTTATAAAAAAAAAAACTTGCAAATGTATTTTTAATATTTACAACTGCAGTTGTATAATATATCAGGTGCCTTGCATTAAATATTAAAGCTTTTCAACCTAACGAAAACATTTTATTGACATTTATAGAAAAAAAAAACATAAAAGATTGAAAATTAAAAATGTCTCTATAGGTACCGCTCAAGACAAGTAAAAATATTATTTTCAAATATAGGACTACAAACACAATATGGTGTACATTTCATGTTACTAAGGTTATTCGTTTTTGAATTACAAGAAACTAAGAAAAACGCGTCATGAGAAATCGAGTGATTATCCAAATGTTGTAAAATATTGAACTTCTGCAAATGCTCATAAAAGTTTAATTTGACTTTCCAATAATCATTATATATATTATTATATTATAGACAAACTTACGAAGAATCATGTATTACATTTTAAGATCTTAGATATAGAAAAAAAAATGTTTATGAATTCCTAACTAAAAATAATTTCCAAATTTTCGTGATTTTTACGAATTCTATCAAGATTAAAACTTCAGACGCAAACATTTTTTTATCGACATTAATATTTTAAAAAAATAATAATAATCGAAAATTTCATATGCCTATAAAATATAGATCAACATGATTAAAAATGTTTTTAAAATGTTAAGGCTTACAGAAAATGCTAACATAAAAATTCAGTGAAAATGTCATGTATCTATGGTAATTTTTTATGAGTTACACCAAAAACTAAATCGATTTTGTCAAACAAATTTTTTTTGTTTTTCCAGGCACTTTTGAAAACTATTGGGAATTTTAAATGTTGACCTCTTCAATACGCCAACTACATATCATTCCCACCGGAAAAAAATATTGAAGTTGACAATCAAATAAAATTATTTTGACTACTTGTCGTGTACAGACAAAAATAAAAATTTAAATTCAAAAAGTTAAAAAACACATCACTGCAAAATCAATGCATTCATATCTACGTTCAGAATCTAAAATGAAATTTTCATAGATAGGTATAAAAAGATTGTTTTATAATCCATTTATAAATAATATTTATAATAATCCAAGTGAAATGTAAACAAGTAAAATAAATTAAATCAGAAACAAGTTTTTGAGAAGTTACTGCATTTATGGCTTAAATTATAATCCATTTTAAGAGTTCACAAGATCAACAGCTGATGGTTATGTTATTTTTATTTTACTCTCAAAATGTTAAAAGTTGTCATAACTCATAAGTAACATTAAATAAGTTAATTTAAAGTTTGATTTAACATTTTGACATGCTTTCATTTATCACAATTTATAACACGAAAATATGCACTTCGTTCATAGCTGTATTAAAAAAATGCTTAGCTTATATACCCTCCCTGACTTTTTTATATCGGTTTCGTACAGATTATTGTGACTAACAAAAACTTAGATATTAAATAGTAAAAATAAGTACGGGTTTAAGACATACATATTTAAATATATTATAGTTTATTTAGAAACGTGTGTGTGTGTCCAACGACATTACAACGATACAACATAATAGTTATAATATAACGATATATTAATATTGGGGTAAGGGCACTATAGCAGTGTACACTGGTCAAATTCTCCCACAGTGTAATAGGTATCACCTTTATAAAGGTTAAAATAAAGATGATACTAGTGCTACGTTTAGTTGAAAAAGGTAGATACCTACAACCTACTTATACTACCTTCTAACCATATTATACTATTAAAAAACGAGTACCTACCGATCTTTTCGTTCCTTTGTACCTTATAGTTTAATACGAGATAACTTTGTAGGTTAGGTATCAAATACCTATGTAAAATCAATAGGACAATAATACATAGGAATATAATATATTCTCACTAATTTTAAAACATAAAACGGAAACTAATTACAAATTAAATATAAAACGGTGCATGGTATTTATTTACATAACCTATGTTAACAATTTATACCCATCACAATATCTCAAATATATATATATGAAATTAGTTTGGTGTTTGTTTAATGATAATAATATATAATGCACAATATGTTAGCCTTTCAACTAATGTAAACTTTTCATGCATATAACAGAAATTTAATTACCAATGAATGTATAGAAATATATCAAGAATAAATTAAATGAACTTGTTCAAACAATTATTTAGTTAGATAAATTTAATAACCCTCATTTTAGTTTTAATTGTATAATATCTCAAGTTTGTAGAATATACATTTATTCATATTATACATATCTGTTCTTAAATATATTTTTGACAATAATACAGATGAACACTTTTCTATCGTCAAATTATTAACCTACTTGTATAGTTGTATCCAAGCAGATATTTTACATTATAACTAAACAACTTTATACCTAGTACCTATACCGATTTAATAGCATCATTTTTAAACTGTAGGAAACATATTATCTTAAGATTAGGTACCTACTAAAAATATAAATTAAACTATTGAAGTTTAGGAGTAACTAAGCTAATACTATAATAATTAAGACTTATTTACGATAAATTCCTATGTATATATATATATCATATATCTAGGGATCTATACGTATAAATGTTGTGTAAGTAATTATGTTGATACTTAAAAATTAACTTAAATAATTATATCCATGCGTACTCACCAATAGTTGTGATGACAATTATTGAGTAAAATAAAGCCCCAGTAAAGGTCCATTGTTGTATTTTAGTGTCTTCTTCGCCATCCCAACCTTTACGTTTAATTGCATATATCAAATCGTCTTCAAATTTCTGCAACCGGGCTGTTACGTTTGTAGTAAAATTATCTTGTTGGAGAACCAATGAATTTTTGGTGTATTTCCAAAGATCCGTAGTTACATTCATCCTCATGACACGAATACTATTCTTCACCTTTAAACATTATTTTAACAATATGAAAAAACATAGTTATATAATTCTGAATTTAATGAAATTAATTATGGCATTTCCTGCAGTTTTAACTACCTACATAAATTCGAAGATACGCCCTATCCATTCGCTAACCTACCTGGCTACCTATCATATACACGTACCTGCATCTGCTGATGTAATTGATTAAAAACAACAATTATGCACTGTGATTTCAAATTTCAATAATAAAATAACGTGGGTAAACTAAACACTAGCACTGCGCAACTGCAGTATTTAATACCTATATAGTATATATTGGACATTGCAGGCAATTATTAATTATAATTTTTTTTTTTTCGGTATCGAATGATAGAAGTTACCGCGGTAGTGCAGTTAGTATAGTTACTTCAGGTAAGTATTTTGTTAAACGTACTCTATTGAGGTTCCATTAATAATATTTTTTTTATACAAATACATAGAGTTATTTAAGTAGCCCCTTTGTATGCCTAAATTATACATTTGATTGCACAATTATATGTAATTACCCACTAAAAGTGGCCAAGTGGAGCAAACGAGACTATACCTTTATATCACATCATTATCATTTATCGCCAAGGTTTGAATTTTACAAAATATGTGTTGAATACTTCAATGTATCAATGGGTGGGTATTGGGTACCTACTACCACCTAATACATATACTATAATATTATTTACAGAACCTACCTAAATTATTGTAAATATAAGTACAATAATTCTAAATAATACCAATAACCGTCATAAAAGTGTATTCCTACAAGAAATCTTATACCTACATTATAATTTATAATAATATATTAATATTTCCAAATAGGTGTATGATGTGAGGTGAGAACCTTGACTCACCTCGGGTCGTAAGTCGTAATCCTAGGTAAACGGACGATGCGTTTCACCCGGCCGGAAATGATAAAGCTATATAGCAAATAATATGAAATAACAAAACGTACAACACACGTTTCACTGGAATTTCGACGCACGGCATAACGCTAAAGCACTCACCGTCGACGAGTCGAAAACTGTTTGATTCGGAATCGAATGGTGTGGCAGACGAAATAATAAAAGTTGAGGTCAACGTATCAAGATTCACAGGTTCCTCGAAATATCGGAAAACTCTACGACCATCATTATTTATTAAACATTTGTTGACTGTTGTAGTTCCACATATAATTACCTTTGTAATATAGGCTTGTTAAATCCACAAATAATCTCAATGAAGTATTGTCACGTGATCGATAAGTTCTTAAATTTAAATATAAAAAAAGGGCTTGCCATTAATCATTATAGACATTAAGTAAAATTCGAAAAATCATATTTAAGCTTGAAACCGATATAGAATACCGATTTTAAATATCAGTTAAAACCGTTAAAAACTGAAATCGATAACAAAATTGAAAACGATTCAAAAATAATCAAAACCGAAATTGAAATCGAAAAAAATTAATACCAATATTTAAAATAAACGAAATCGGAAAAAATAAATACCAATATCCAAAATCAAAATCAAAATCAGAAAAATAAATGCCAACATTCTAAACCGAAATAAAATTTTTTCGGTTTCAAGTCCTAATTTAAGCACACAAAAAAGAGTAGAGATAAGAGCTTTAATAATCCCACTGTATATCAATATTATATACCTATACACGATGATGAAATACGTTTTGTATAATGGAAGGGGGCCCGAGGGAAGGTGATTATTAATGTATAGTAGTATATTAATTAAATTAGCATAATAGGTAGTACTAATTAATATATATACTATTAAAATAGTAATTTAAATTAATAATTGTTAATGATGTATCAATAAGTACAGTTCTATTTTACGTACAAGTTAATTATACAGATATTTTTGTACATCTATTAATTAACATACCTATAAAAACATATGTAACTACCAATCTGTTTTTTTTTTATAAATTTGTTAGTGGTAAAATATTGTTTTTTGTTTTATTTATACTTATACTGTATACTAAAATGTTTGACTTTCCCCCTCCCTATTAATTTGAGCTAATTTTACATAAGGATACATATCCAATACACGTTATATGTAATGGTAGATAATATTAATTTTAAATATATTTGATGTTTATTCAACAATACTTGCAGTACTATAAGGTACTTTAATATAATGATAGTCATAATAACTTCCCTGCACGGGGAGAAAAGCGATTCAACACATTGCCTCCTTCAAATACGACATTAGTACAGTATAGGTACCTATCATTAAATAGTAAAATACATTATATTTTCAAACTGTAACAACCAGTGCTCGAATTGGGGGGGACACAGGGGGACGGAGCTCCCCTTCAAATTTTAATTTTTTTTAGCGTACCCCTTCTTATATTTTTAATTTGAACGGGGGGACGGTACGTCTCCCGTGTAAATTATTATTGACAAACTTATAAAACGTTTATTTATAGATATTTATTATGTATTATCAATTTGAACAAAATATGCGATAAATTGTAAATTTCATTAATGATAAAAATTAAAATATATAAGATAATAAGATAATTTATTATTATAATCACGGACCACAGACTATAAATCTTAGTCCGTGATTATAATACAGGCTTACATAAACTGATATACTAATAATGTGTATAAATAATGTAAATTATATCGAGATTAAAATTAAAAATTCATGTTATCGGATGGTCGATAACACTGTAAACAGTACCTATGTAGTTCAAAATATTGAAGAGAATCATTCATATGTAGAGCTATGGAATATTTAAATAATGTATAAAATATCTTAAAATAAAATAAAAGATTTGTTTGTAATTTAATAATATTTATTTATTGTTGTAGTGTAACCTTTGTTTAATTTTAATGATTGTTTGATTTGTGTTGAAAATACGTCATGGGGGGTGTGGGGGGCGAAGCCCCCCACGGGTTAGTTTGGTTTAAATCATTGAGTGGAACGCTAAATTTTTAAAAGTCCTTTAGCACCCCTTCTATTATATTTCCAATTCGAGCACTGGTAACAACTACTATTATAGTAGTATAATATTATATTAATATGGATATAAGTTATAACTTATACTGTTATATATTATAATAGATAATGTGGTATTGAATCTTGTTAAATTTTTTTCTCTATACCAATTTATTTTAGTACTTGGTAAGATAAAAGACACCAAATTGGTACCATATCGTGTCTGTAAATAAATACAGAACGGTAGTAATGGATACAGTATAAAAAGTTTGTTTAACAAAGAACAGTTATTTAATCTTATACTCTTCATTGGGATGAATACCACATTGAAACTTTTTGTACTTTTAACTTTTTTCGCATATACAATATTCGTACATCAAACTGATCAAACTAATCAAATAATAAAACAGTAAATTCCAACCAATGAAATTCCGCTTTAAAATGATATTACTTAAATGTTAATTGAAAGTGCCAAATTTAAATACATGGCCACTCGTATAGAATTATCAGATAATAATATTAATAAATTACATTAATTTTATATTACACTATAGTATATGTATATTTATTACCTCATAATTACGAAAAATTATAAGAAAACAGTATATTATAATTTATTTTATTTTACTATAAAAAACTTATAATGTGTTTGATGATTGTTAAACAAATCATATTAAAACTATAGATAAGGTAATGAAAGGGTTTAATTTAATTTAAAGGGTTTATTCATTATTATAATTTTTTACTAATAATAACAAAATTAATTTAATTATTATGGCTTAATTGATGAATACATAAGTGAAGACTGTATAAGTCATGACTTAAGTAAAAACCGGTACGAACATTAAAAGTTTGTCAGAGCTTATACTAAGTATTATTTACATTATATTGAAAACGTAAAACATCAAACCACTGAACATATTTGGTGTGTTATTTATGGTATTCGACCATTATTGAGCCGATTTTCTTAGACTAGCTGAATAATAATTATACACATCTTTTGTTATTGATGCCAAAGCTATGACAATAATAGTTGACCTTTCTTTATTTTTACTTTAAATAGTTTATTTTATTCTACGGCAAACCGTAATCATTACTAATTAACATACATTATTGATTTTTAATTGCTTATACAATTTAATATTTAATCTAAAAATATAGCTACCTACTTAGGTACTTACATGTTTACTTTACGATTTTAAAATGAACGAGGGAATGTTTTGAGTTCTCAATATTTTTTTACAAAAATGAAATAGAATGTGGATATTTGGATTTCAAATTTCAATGACAGTGAATAATATTTCAGTTATTCTTAAAAATGAAATTCTAAATCGTAAAAATGTTACTCCGGGAATAGTAATAATAATATAATTCCTAACTACATCATGTAAAAATCCCATTCGAATAATATATTGAATTCTATGTATGCAACATTGTAACAATAACGAAGTTACTATTCAAAAACCCACTATTCCAGAAACGGACATTTTTCGGTACATATTATAATATTCTTAAAGATAATCAAAATAGTTTTGAATAGATTTAAAAAAAATACACACTACACCGTGACTATTGTGTTGTAAGCTTTTAGTAGTTCTAAAGAAGTTCGGAGGTAGAATATAGGTACGTATAATTTTTGTGATACATATTGCCGTATTTGGAATACTACAGTCATAAGTTATCATTTCGTTGTAAAAAAAAAGTAATTTAATAGCGTTTAAAAAATAAAATAAAATATTTGTGGTTTTGCTTTTCTAAAATAAATATGTTTACTTTTGCGACATCTCTATAAATAATGTTTTAATGATACAATAGAAATATTTTAAAGGCATCAACTACAAAACGGATTGTTGCATTACAAAGCATGGGGGCGATTATTTTAACAGTAAAGTTAACACTCATTAATCATTAGATTAAAACGTAGGTATTAACAGTTTTGAAATTTGTTTTACATAATTTTAATTTTTAAAAACATATAGTTCTCTTTTATTGTTATTTTTTTTATATGTGTTATGCAGTGGACAATATACTGCGGTCTGTGGGGTACTTACCCGTCCCGCTACACTCAGCTCATCAAACTATAAATACTTATAAGTTTACAACTAAAAAAATAATAACTCGTTCGTAATTCATATTTTATACAACAAAATTCTCAGAAAAAAATACTGTTCCAGAATACGAAATTAAAAACAAAAGTTTTCATTGCAAAATGTAAAAATCTTAAAAAAAAATGACGATATTAATTAGAAAAAAAGGTTTTTTATAATAACTTAAAATTACATAAACAAATATTTTCAAAAACATTAATACTTTTCGAAATAATGAGTGTTTAGGTAAGTACTGTTAAAACACTTAAAACAATCGTCAGTGTATAACACCTAAATATGTATCGTATTCGTATAATACCTATTATAATATCAATGCTGTTACTATCTGCCCATCTCCGATGAGTGAAATGCGCTAAGAAAGTTACACTCAATAAATAATATTTGAAATTCTAAACATAAACAGATAATAGATATAGTATCCTATACTTATTTCTTAATACTTATAGTATGTAGATGCACGTATAAACTAACTATCTATTATTAAAATAATATACCTATAGGCTATATGATGCAGGTCAAGGTACTTAAGAAAATATTCTTTATTTTGTATACTCGCCCTTATATTTAGCTATAATGTTAACATGTAAAACACACACTACCTACACACTAAATTTATTTTAGCTGAACACTTTTATTTTTTATAATAATTACTATAAAGAAAATTTTTTAGGTGTTTTCAATATAATATTATTTTATCTGCAAAACATACGAGAAGCGAAGTTCTTGTTTAAAATCAAGTAGGTACAAATTGTGTATTTTATAGTCATTAGAAAAACCATGTCGCATTTAATTCGAAACTAATAAACGAATATAATGATAAAATATATTTGCTTATCAGTTATCGTCGATACAATGATACGTCAGTGTCATAAATTCAGAATAATAATTATAATAATATATTATAATATAATATATATGAACCACATAAATACGTGTAAATAGTATATTATTATCATCATTTTTTTTTTTAAACTGACTTACTTCAATTTCGTTCGCTGATTCTAGACGTTCGAAAGCAAAGGCTCCGAGCAAACAATACAGCACGACCATGGTGACAAGTAACACGTGCAGGAACAAGCACGTGAAAATCTTCCACGCATAGTAGACGAGTGTGGTGCATCGGTTAGGCGTATCATCGTCAAAATCAACATCCATCAACATGTTTGCGAGATCAACTCGAGATTCCCATTAACTAAAAACCGAAAACCTAATAGTCACCTGCGTGACAAATTGTCTCTACATAATAATATTGATAGGTATATATCGTTAAAAATCGGTGTGCGTGCGAACGTGTTAATACGTCTTAATATTATGATTATTCTTGCGGTACGCCGAGATTTTCGTGGCGGCGACTGTTATAAAAATATGATAATATTTATTGTGGTTATAAAGAGTGCGTGTGTGGCTATAGCGAAATGGCCGGTCGCCGTCGATCCAGAAATAAAATGGTCCATCTGTCTGGGTGCCTAAACAAATGGTGTTCCCACCGTCCGATACGGCTTGCCAAAATTGTGTATTTAAATTTAGAACCATTCCCCTACCGTGCAGCAATGAGATTTGTTTTTTCCACACAGTTTAGAAGAAAATATTGTTATTATTTCCCCTCTTAGACCGCCATAACACACCACGATAATGCGCTGCGTATTTCTATTTGCCACCATACACGTCCGCGTCTCAACGCAACAACGAACGCATAATATCGTTTGATACTTTTATGGGTATAATGTTTAGTGTATAATATTATATTATAGTAATATATAGTATTATACTATACAGCATACACGCGTTCTATATTTTATAGTATAGTCGAACACGAGGAGAAGCTTTTCGACTTAACACTATACTTTCACGGGTCCGTTTGTGAAATAAAAACTTGCAATAGGTATATCTTATGCGTGCCCTTCGAAGGCCGAGCAGAGTGACCCGCTCGCAAATCCGACTCAACGACTTTTTTCTCGGTGCTATATTTGATGTCCGCTGTTGTAATACAGCCCGTGGAAAAATGGTGCCATTCATTTTTCATTTTCCAGTTACATTTTTCCTGCACTTCACTGACCCAAACACATCATAACAAAGTACAAACACGGTGGTCCGGCATTATTATTTCCACACTATTCCCAGAATGTTTTGAATAATTTAATAATAAAAACAAATATAATATATTATTATATTATACCAGCTAATACAAATCACGTAATTTTTAACCACTGCCATTATTCTCACCATCGTTTGATTTAAATTAATATTTATATTACCACAGATTTTCTAGGTATTTGATCTAGAATTTTAATATTATAACATGGAATTTTCTATTAATTGAATCACTTATTGTTTTAGTCACAAATACACAGGCGGGTACTAGGTACCTACCTATAATTATATAGACTGGTAAATACATATATACTTTAAACACCTTAAAGTATTTTAAAATATTAAATGTAGCTAGGTAAATTAAAAAATATAAAAACATTTTTATTAAAACAAAAATGTAAATTACCTAAACATTAATAAATAATAATAGGTAATGCCTCGTTAATTGAGTTTTTGCTACACAGTACTTACCTGTTTACTTTTACAGTATACACATATATACTATTTAGTCATATTAGGATAACATTATACACTTGACTCACTTTAAGTACCTTTAATAAGGCGGATTTCCACTGTACACGTACGTGTGTACGTGCATACAAATCCTTTGCTGTGATTGGTTGGTTAGGTTAAGTTACCACACGATTAACCACGATACCGTGTTGTAGGACATAGCTGAACACTTTTCGTGTACATGGCAAACGTGTAAAGTGGAGACCCACCGTTAGGTATTAATAATACGTATTGCCCTCTGTGCAATATTCAATCTCTGAGATGTAACACAGTGATCCCATTGAGTCATAGGTATGATTGAACATAATGTACCTATTGGCTATTAACTATAGGTATATACCTACTATACTCTTATTGGGTATACTCTTATTATATGCTAAATTATACATATAGGTATACATTATATATACATGCGTAACTATACATGATATGCATATACGCTTATATACAAATTATTTTCACTATAGGCCAATTTTGTCAATTTAACATTACTCAAGCATAGCACAACTAACATAGCCATAACTATACATATTTTAGGGAGCTGGGTGGTTATAATTATGAAATGTATATACAATACAAATAAAAATTGCGAAATTTAATTTTATAATTATGTAAAATTAATTTTTTAATTCTTTTTTAAAATATATTCACAATTTCATATATAAATATATATATATATTTTAATGTTATCTAACTATGAATTAACCATCAAAGTCATCAAAGCAAGTCCTGACAAACATTTCCTTGTTGATTCCTCAAAAACGATTTTAACAACCGGCTAAATTAATCATGGTGAAAAACTGTAAACAGTGTAGATATACATGAAATGCTTTAATTGAACCTGTAATTTTACTATGGGCTCTGGTCTAGGCACTGGCATATAGACATATAGTTCGATGAAAGGAATTCAAAAGGAATTCGCTTCGCATCAGTAATATAATACCACAAAAAAAAAATAGAAGATAGGTAAATACCAACCTACTTAGTACCTAGGAAATTTGTCAACCCACTCAACCAAATCATGTCTTATTTCAGATATTAGCTGACAATACGTCCAAACTATAGTTTGAAATATTATGTCTTAAGTTTTATAAAATTGTGTATCTACAAAATAATATTTGATAAGATGGTACCCAGCAAACACTGTAATTATGTATATTATACGCCTAAAATACCTATATTGAAATTTTTTAATAATACTTCCACAGTTTTAATTTTACTGTATTATAACAAAAATCAAAATTAATACCTATAATATTATTATAAAGATGAATTAAGTTATATGGATAATTATAATTACAACAATACATTTTATGTATAGGTCAGTGATGGTTGAGAGGGGGAGGGAAAAGGGGGCATCCCCCCCAATCGCCTTAGTTTTCTACTGTATTTAGCCAATTTCGGAACTTTTTGTACTTTTGCCCCCCCCCCCAGTGGAGGATTTAACGGTCGTTTAGTCGGCTAATGCCAACGGGGCCCTCTCCTAAATTGTGCACTGAGGCCCACCTTAATTATAAAGTTGATTTTTTTTAAATTTTAACCAAAAAAAATGTATATTTCAAACTGGAATATAATTTACCATTGTTTTAATAATATAATAATTTAAATATATAGGAATACTTCAAAAGTAGAAAATATTATAATTAAATAAAGTAGAAAAGAACGAAGTATAAATACTTATATACCTACGTAAATCTAAGGTAGGTATTCTACATTCTACCCACTACCATTGATCACAAATAAGATTATTTATAATTATAAATTAATATATAATATAATTCATGATTGCATGAAAATAAAAACAATAATTTTTTAAGTATAATAAGTAATAACAATCTTTTTATTACTTAATCAGTAGCGGAAATCATGATTTATTGGAAACCGTTTTCGCGATAAATTCGCAAGTCGCAACGTAGGTACATAAATAATAAATATAAGTATTGAAAAATATGATAAACAGGGCTGTTAATTTAATTCGTTTGCACTATGTTTTTCAAATTATTATGCTTATACATTTAACGGGTTAGGACATTGTTTCTTACAACTGCTATACAATTGCTTTAACTATAAAGTATTGATTGAAATTTAAAATAAGTATTATATTATTATTAAATTAAGTACCTATAAAATTATAAATAGAGGCAACGAGTAATTGCATCCACACCACCAATTCACTCGCCAACCTAGCCGACCGGTCTGTCACCCACACAAATACATACACACACATCACTATTGTTTTTGTGAATTATAATATAAAATGGTAATTTTATCTACGACTCTTGTGTATGTAGCAGCTCCTAAAATTATGTGTAGTACAAAAAGTGGAGTGTGTAGTACGAAATTTAAAAGTGCGTAACTCAAATTAAACCTTTATAATATTATGTATAATTTTATGGCTTCACTTTTTTTTTTAATATTTGCATGGTTTTTTGTCAAGCTACATTTTAATTATAATCTACATTCTATACACAAGAATTTTATATACCTACTTTTAATTTTGTTTTATTTGTAAAAATAAATAAAAACTTAACGTGGGGGTAAGTATGTTACTGATAAATTTTGTAGGAGGTCCCTCTTATTGATTTTCCGACTTTCTTTGAACCCTTAAATCCGCCACTGCCCACCCCCCTCCCAAAATTAAGCCCTGGATCTGCCACTGGTATAGGTGCATACTACTGCATAGGTACATAATAATAATAATAATAGTAATAGTAATAATAATAATAATAACAAATGATGACGATGATGATGTGGGTGGGAGGTAGGTAACCTAAATAGGTAAGTGTGCCCTCATCAATAAATCCACCGATATTTCTATCATTTTATCTAATATCTATATTCTATATGATTATACTATTATAGGAAGATAATATTATAATAGAGTACCTACCTACTACGTAAATATTGAAATATCTTACTGTTTAATTAAAAAATATATATAATTATACAACTAATATAAAAAAAAAAAAAAACGTCGTATAAATAAAAATTATAATTTATCATAACACCATTCTGCCATTCTGCGTTTTGTAGGGTTTTTGAAAACATCATTGATGGCTTCGGGATTTAAAATAATTACTTTACTATAGGTTCGAGATTTTCCATATTGACAGATCGATTGATTAACTATGAAATCCAATATAAAAAATAAAAACTGAAATATTGTAACAAACATTATGACAAATACAAAAAGTATGCGTTTTGCAAATACTTGGTAGTTGATAACCGATAAGTGGATATTTAATTTGCTAATAGCACGCCAGCACGGCCATATAGGCATGTTCATACGTCAGACGGTGGTTAGAATTGCAATCACCTCATTATCATTCTATACGTGAATCAAAATTTAATGTTATCCCTGCTGTTAGTCTGGTATCATTTCCCTAGTTTTTAATCATATATTGTTAACATTATAAATATTTTAATATACATACTAATTATTTTTCTAGACCAAAAAAGATTATTTTCCAGAGTCGAATTTTCACCCCCTGCGCCTGTCTATGATTCTTGGCAAGATATAATACCAATAGATATGCTTCTAGCATAATAATGTTCGAAGTTAGAACTTGTTTATTGTAACATTATAATTGTAAATGGAATTTATAAGCAGTTACATAGTTTAAATTTTCACTTATATAGATAAACAAATACAAATGTGTCTAATTGATTAATTTAAATTTTAAACTTTAAAGTTCTAACATTGAACAAAAACAAAAATCGTGTACGGCAGTGCTATCTAGTGACGCAAGTCCATAACTGAATATTGTTATCACATATCGTGATTATCAATGTATATAATCACTGTCATTGCAGCGAATTGTGTAATCACTTATCATGTTTTTGCCTTTTTGGTGATTAAATTAATTTATTTTCGTATAATTTAGAATTTTAGAATACTGAATAATATTTTACTAGTGTAGAACCTTCATATCGTAGAAGTTTGAAATACAGATCAGATAAATTCTTTTGGCCACCTTTGTATTCCTTAATCCTAATAATATTATTAAGAATTACCTTAACTCTGAAGTATGCATCCTGATTTGTCACCTCATTTGCACACTGATGAATGCAATCAATTTACCATGGAATTTAAAAACTGTAATGTAGAGGTGAGAAACTATTAACATGAATAGTGTTTAATCAAGCAATATGATTACTTTTGTTTGATTTCCAGCATAAAGTATTGAGATTTGTTGGTAGATGTGATAAAATCTATGATCGAATGGTCCACTGTTTTCACTTAGAGGTATGAAATTGTTTATAATAATTATCTAATAGATCTTAATATTTTAAGATCATTAATCAAAATAATAAATATGTCATACCATATAGTAGTGTTAACTGTTAAGGAATAGGTATATTGGAACAATTATGATCAGATTTGATTTATGTTTGACACTAGAAAAACAAAACTAATTTGCTATTTTAATACACTTACTAGATATATGTAATGTTGTTCAATTCTTCCTACATTACTATAGCTATTTTTAAAAATTTAGTCTTAGTGTTCTACCTATAAAATATATTATTATTAATTATGGGTAGCCTAAACAATTTTAATTTTGATTAACAATTGTGTGTTGTTTAATAAAATGATTCTTTTTATTAAAGTTTTTAAATTATTTAAATTAATGAAGTACAGTTGAATTTTTATCCAATGACATTTGACATTATTTTAAATACTTTACTATCTATTTATTTTTTAAAAATGTTTCAGAGACAAGCCAAGCGCCAAAAAAATAATGAGGAAGCGAGAAAGCATCAAGCTTTGGTCAGACAAAGGATGTTAGCAGAAATGAGATCAGACAGGGAACAAGGAATTGAGAATTGAGAATATTATGTACTATGTGTTGTGTATAGGTTTAGGTATAAATTAATGAAAAATAAATGTAATGAAATATAACAGTTTTGAATTGTGACTAGTTTCTTTATTTCCCTTTGATTTTTTAGGAACTTAAATGAAATACACAAAATATTAACAATGATTTACAACGTAAAATGAAATAGTAAAAGCAAGTATAGTAACCCCTATGTAACCAAATAACTTAAAAATAACAACAACTCATTTTTGTCATACTTTGGTGACAAAAAAATGTATAACCTTACCACTTTATTAGTTGGGTATTAAATTCATATTTTCGTTATCACTTTCATCAGATGTTTGTAATAAAGTACTTAATGCTATCCCCAAAAACATGATCCAACCAATATGGTTATTGGACACAAATTTATTCCCGCAATCTTTAGGGTTGTATATATCCAACGTGCGTACCTATTTACATAACATAAAATTTTTTTTTTTTAAATTAAGATTTATATTTTATTTATCATATTTAACTCACTTGATTAAACATATGAGCGCCTGCAGCACCAACTGCTAAATAATAGGGCCATGTTTGTCCAGTATTAACACCACAAGTGATTAGACTACTCAATGACATGGTTGCAAAAGATGACAACCAAAATTTTGATTTTGAACCAAACAAGACTGCGGTGGAGTAAATATCATGCTTGTTGTCGTCTTTTCTGTCCTATATAATAATATAACAATAATTATTGGCTTTAATTAAATAAAAAATGCATGCATTAAATAATCACTTGAAGACCATAAATGGTATCATAGAAAAGTGTCCACGCAACACCAGCTGCATACAAAGGAAGACAGGCGGTGAAGTCAATTGAAGAGTGAATAGCAGCCCAGCCTAATAAAGCACCCCAGTTAAAAGTTAGGCCCAATACAAATTGTGGCCAATATGTTATCCGTTTCATAAGTGGATATAATGTAACTAATACTGAAACAAACAAATTTAAACAGTGATATTATTATTTATTTTACTGCATTCTGTAAGTATTTAAAGTAATACATAAAAGTACTTTTTTAAATAATTCTTGATAGTGGGAAATAAAATATACATATAAAATACATTATAGGCTGTATTAAAGTAGAAATGAATAGAGAAATTTCTTTAAACATACTATTATGTCTATACAATAGTGTGTATGATTATTATATAGATTCAAAAATATACAGTAATATAACATACACATTTATATAAATTGTATATTACAATATAATATTTAATTGCATTTGTATATTATAATATACATTAAATGTTCAAAAACAATGATTTAATGTTGTACCTATACATATAAAAATATACTTTAAATAATTTTTATCACTGACTGTTTACATTTATCATAAATACAATTTAAACACATAAAAAATTATAATAAAGAAGTTTTTTTCTAAATTAAAAATAAAATTCTAAATTTCCTTCCTACATATACATTTTATAATTTACTATTGTTATAGGTAATTATCTACTGAAATAAAATTGAATTAGCTTAATACAAACTGTTACAATAACTAATAATGAGACAAATTAAGCTTACCTAATGAACTAGCGCCAACCACAATAGTATACAAATTTAACTGCAACAAAACGATAAGACTGAGACCCAACTGACCAGCAAGGAACACCCATGCATCAAACATGCTTAACGATTTAATCACAAGAGGTCGATTTTTTGTTCTTTCAACCTAAAAATGTTCACTTACATAATTGTGTACAGAGGAATATAATAGTTTTAAGTGAGTACTTACGAAGTTATGAACAATATGTCAAGTTTACAAGTAAGTTTTTAAAACTTGATATAAGTTAGATCAATTTAAATATTTTATAAAAAGAAAATATTAAAGTACCTATGATAAATAACTAGAAAATATTATTTAAAAAACAGAAGGTAAGAGAACACAATTCTTAATCTTTAGTAGAAAAATATTAATTAGGTATTTAATATAATCGCTCAGTGCATTCATATTTTAATTTTAAATTATATAATTATGAGAAATACCTTTAGATGATTTATACAATAAATTATTATGCACCTAGTATTATTTCAAAATGTAATTTCATTAGGGAAATTTTTTTAGACTAACTGTATGTATGTTAATACCTAACTTACTTTTTTATCAATATCTTTGTCCCACATATCATTTATTGTACAGCCAGCCCCTCGCATCATGACTGCTCCCAGACCAAACAAACCGAGCATTTGAAAGTCGGGAAGTTCGCCTGCAGTTGAAGCTAAAGCAATACTCCAAGTGCATGGCCAATATAAAAGCAACCATCCTGAAAACCAAATGAATGATCAAAATATTTAATGATCAAAAGGTTTAATGACAAAAATAGTATGATTTTCAAACCAGTGGGTCTAGAGAATCGCATAAGTTCTAAGTATGGTTTAATCGTGCTGATGACCGTGTTCTTTGGTTGGTCCACAGGTTTGGTCTGTTTGGTAATGAGGACCTTGCTGCTCACCGAACAACATCGTGCTAGATTTGTATTAGTCAATATCGGTTGGTAAACGCACAACGACGTATTCCTGCTTATAGTCGATAGGGTTTTGTAGTAAACATGAATGACAGGTAACTTTAATTTCGTTCCAACGCTCCTCGCTAACGTCTATAAAAAATAATTTTCGCTATTTTAGCAAGACATTTATTGCATTTTGAAGAACCGATTGAAATTACCTGATTAATCATTGCAACCAATTTTATTTCGTTACTACAATATTAATTTATTTTAGTAAATCCACAATTTGCAGTTTGACTGTTCATTTTGAGTGCAGTACACTGTTGAAGCTTGAAACGAACATTTATTCGGAATCTCGACTTCCGTCCAAGGTCGGTGTAAATTGTAATGACTAAATGACCAATGATTAATGAAACCAACCAAAGCGATAAGGACCGCGTAATGAAAAATAATTGTGACCGTTACACAGAAAACACCATTCGATATGAAAACTAATCAATAACGTTAAATTATTATTTTATTATAATATTATATTCCCAATTCCTGAACGATCGCAGGGAAAGACTATTTGTCTTTGTAAATTGTACGCATTGTTCGCGTACTATAAATTATAATATAATATATATTAATTAATAGGTACTAAGCCTACCTACATAATATTACTATTATTATTTCAACATATTTTTCAACTTTTCAAGACTGGTGTATCAACTATTATCAATAATCATAATATTTTCAATTTTCAGGCAAGTTTAATTACATAACCATAAAATAACGATAACGTAATTTTATTTTTCACAGAATGGTAAGATATTATCTGTTCGTTATTTTCATACACTTCTCTCTTTTTAGTAGTTTTTTCTTCATATCCACAAACGATTTTAGTTCTGCTACTATTCACCTGACGTCGCTGTATGGCGTGTATCGCTTGCTCTCGTCCTCGATCCACACCGAAAATGCACTTTTCATCACTTCACGGCTGGAGCATTACGATTTCCTTGCGATTTTCTGGACAACTACCTGTTCGAATGGAAGCGTAGTGTACTCTGACTCGATAACTGACAGGTAAACTCGTAGAACGACGCCCTTTTCGTCGCGACGACTGCAGTACGACGGTGGAGATATTTTCTATATAGTATGACCCGACATCCGCAAACTTTGATTCTTCCAGATTCATATGGGACATGATGAATGGGTGTAAACTCCTCTCAAAGAGAAGCCTGTACCTTCAACCTTGTTACGTATTAACAGGTCAAACCTATCTGATCCCTACAAAATATGAATAAGAATGCCAATTTTGAAATAAAAGCTGTACGTCAGCTGATCGTTGGTGCCGTCGGTGGTACACTGGTACCTATTGATCGCATTTGAGCAATGGGCACTTCTCGTGACTCTTGTCAATAATTGAGAATACTCATTTTGACTTTTGAGAAGAAATTTTCCAGCGACTGCCAACTTGTGCCCATACTGCAGTGGTCATCTAATTATTTTGGTCTTATTCCCTTTTTTACTACATAAGTACATAACACATTAAATTACTCTTATTCAGAACGAGCCTAAACTAAAAAGTGACGAATATCAATAAAATATTTTAATAACCGGGTACGCACATCTTTTTTACACTTGCATTCCCTTTTTCTAATTTCGTCACAGATCAAACGCTGTTATTACTTATCAGAATAGACCTCATACCAGCATAAACTATAAACCATAAGGTCTATAATTGTTGGGCATATTTCAATAGTATTTACGTTTGTAACAGTGTCACATTGTTTATATTTATATTCAAATTTCATTATGCTGCACTCAGTCATATATCATATAATCATACAAACATTGTAATATTATACAAATATTATGCAATAAGTATATGGTTAACTCTACACTAATTGTAGCCCCGGGAGTTCATATTAGTTTTTGTTGTTTAAAGTAAAAATATTTTTACTAATAAACTTATTTATATTTTATAATATTTATTGGTATTGTTATTCTAAGCAACTTACTGTTGTAGAACAAAAAACTGATAGGCTGAATTTGAGTTTTACTTACCCCTCACATAAATTTGAAAACATTTACATTTTCAAAATGTTGTGTATCAAACATTGTATTTTAATTTGATTTATATATCGTGTAGAACATAATATTATGTTGATTCTCAACCATTGTACAGAACCTATACACCTGTGTTATTGGCTATAACACTCATATATTTTTATGCAACAATTAATGCACTCAAGTTCCAATGCAATCTTTGAGATTTTTGTCTCTTCAAAGTTCAAAATACCTATTTTAATTTAGATTTTTTTTGGCATTCCTATAAAAACCATTACAAAACCACGAAATATTTAATGCGACGGGAGATTTAAAATAACACTGCCTAGGTCTGGTTCACGGTTTAACATAGAATTCCATCTTAAACTGTGGTCTGGTTACATGATCCATGGACTTAATCACCACTTGTGGTAATATTAAAATTGTATCAGATGGCAGTTGGAATGTAGAAGACATAGTTGTAATAGACATCATTTCACTTCAAACTTGATGGATAAATTACATCTAATGAAAATTGTAAATTTCCTAGTGATTTAGATAAAGGAATAACATGTAATTCGATACAATATAATCCTTATTGTGTATATCATACCATTAAACACTACATAACATAGTAATATGTAGTATCTTAATCTAATATGAAAATTTGTCTAGTATCAGAAATATAACAAGTTATAAAAAAAAAACGATAAATTCCATCAGTATCAATAATTGTATTTCAATAAAACACTATTAAAAAAATGTAAAAAAGACAAATTTACCAATAATTATAGAATATCAAGTAACGACTAATTCAAGCTGTACAAAATAATATAAAATAGGTAGGCCCTAAGTAATATAAATTTCCTTAAAAAAAAAATCAGTCTTAAACTTAACAAATTAAAAATATGTATGGACATGCGCGTTTAAGTCAAACAAGACTTATTAAAGTACAAAATAATAAAAATAATAATAAAAACAGTCTAATAAATGTAATATTTTTTACACCATTAATATTGTTTAATTGATTTTCTAAACTATTATTTTCTTATACAAATATGAATATCTTTTTTTATATAAAAGTACCTTTATGAGCTTTCTAGGATCATAAATAAAATATACAAATATGTAATTTATTAATGTATAAACAGGTATAAATAGTATTCAAATCATTAAACTGAGCATATATAACTTAGAGTACTCATTTTAGCTGCATTGTTATTATTGAAAATTGTATAGACTCAATATCTATATAATAATCAATGATACAACAGCAGATATATCTAAATTTAAAATTAATAAAAATATCGTACACAGTTGAAGCAAACACAAAACGCCATAATAGTATAAAAACTTGGAACTCATATAAACATTTTTAAGCTTGCTTGCTTACACTAACATACTAAAAGAATAACACATTGTTCAATATTACTAATTATGTGAAATTATATCATTTTAAATGCCATTTTTATTGACATCATAATCCTTAACTTATAATTTACATTTTAAACGCTCAATTTACCTTTTTGGTAATAATTTATACAGTATAAAATAAGCACACACAATTTGACACAATTGAGATTAAACATAAATACAACATAAATGTATGAGAAAAAGGAGGTATGGGTCATATTTTACCAGCATTATAAATAGGACAAATTTCATATGGGTTTTTTAACGATAACGATAAATCAATTTAATGATTAATAATCTGTGTGGAATATTAGTGTTGTAAATTGTAAAATAACTTTGAATAGAAAGTACCTAATCAGAATAATAGTTTTAAAGTTTTCACCCATTACAAAATTTGTCATATATACAGGGTGGGGCAGTGGGTTCTGATGATTTATAGAGTACTGCGGTTAGGTATTAAAGTAGGTAAGATAAACTAGGTTTTCGCCAGATTAAAGTTTATGATGTTTAGTTTTACTTTATCAGTAATCATGGACACGTGGCCTGTGAATCAGCGCTTTTTTGCCGTTACGACGTTTATTGAGTGTAAGTCTATTATAACTGTACAACGAAATTTTCGACGACAATTCAATATTCCTGTTGGAGGTAATGTTCCTTCACGGAATTCAATCTTAGACTGGTATCATACATTTCAAAATACTGGTTCTGTCTTAACAACTTATAAAGGTAGACAAAAAAGTGTAAGAACACCAGAAAACATTGAACGAGTACGTCAAGCAATCGATCAAAGTCCACAATGCTCGGCAAGACGCCATTCTCAGTCGTTGAACTTGTTTATAACAATTAAAAATAATGTTTATGTTGAATAAAATACAATTTGTTTCATTATTTTGTTTTTAATACTTGACCAATAAACTACAATTAAAATTCGTCAGAACCCACTGCCCCACCCTGTATTAATTATATTTCAGCTATGTATATTGTATACAATATAATAATTAAATACAGCATTTCTACAGTAATAGGATATACCTTGTAACTCAGTACTCTTTAAATATTTATGAATTCTAAATCCACATGAAACTAAATTATTAGATTATAAATACCTAAGTCTTAAAAATTGTTTAACTCGAGTTGCATGTTCAACACTTTTTTCAAAAATAAAAACCACTTTTTTCAGATTGGTTGATTATTTTCAAGTTATTTTGATTACTGTGTTATACTTGGTGTAGCCTGTTCCTGTGGATACACTGTATCCATAGACCTTATCCTAATAGACAAGAAGTGATTGCACACTGAGCGTGGAAACATATCGGGCGCTTTTCGGTGACTTAGTGACTCACATGTAGGTAGTGTGGGGTAGTACGCTAAGATATCTAGATTATTGTATTTTGTCATCAAAACAGTCTACATCACTGTGATATGATTGCACACAGCTCGTAATGCTGTTGTTGAACAAAGTTCTTGTCTATTAGTATAAGGTCTATGACTGTAAATTACATTAGTCTACATACCTAATACAATACCTAAAAATATTATATTTTTACCAAAAAATTAATTAATGAAACACTTTTATTGTTTTTATAAATTTGTTCTAAATTCAAAACAACGGAAAAAATATCACAATAATTATCATGGGATACAAATGTGAGCACTTAATGAAACACATTGGGCAGTTAATACTTTTTCTATAAATGGAAGACTTAAAAAAAAATTGTTTTGGATTGTTTTTCAGAAAAATTTTGATTTGAAAAGTAGATAATGCCAATATTTGTTCATGCAAGTAGTAAAATTCTTTTTCGAAATTCAATGTCTCAAATAACTTTAAAAATTAATTTTGGATTAACCCTGTACAAAACGAATACCCAAGTAATTTTAAATTTTCAAGTTTTTTAATAAAACATGTACATACAAGGAATGTATAATATCTCAATTAATGTCAATAAAATAGTAATTACTTATTAGTATAAAATGTAAACAGCACTTGAAATTGTTTTAAAAAACTTATCGCAAAGTTCGAGATCATTTTTATGTAGATAAACTCACTGAAAATTTTTTGACAACTGAACATATAACTTATAGGTTCAAAGAGTGCCACGGCGATTTGTTTCAATCACTAAACGGCACAATTCTATGAGGGGCTCATAACCAATGTCAAGCAACAAGCAAATAGCACAATTGCAAGATTGTTGTGGAACACGTCAATCTGCTATTAAACCCTGTAAAACAAATAATAATATTAATGAATTGTACATTTTTAATTTCTTTTAAATTTTTATAAACTGTTTGCTGTTCATACCTGAGAAGTGACTGCCAGTTGATCTTTTAACAATCTAAAAGATGGACGATCTTCAGGACAATGGCTCCAACACTTACGCATAACCTTTGAAAATGTATTTGCATTGTAAAATCATAATTGCATACAAATATTAATTTATAATTTAATTCTACTCAGAAATATATTTACCTCATATACTTCTTTGAAACACATTTTCGGTTTTTCCAAAATAATGCCTCTTTGTACACGATCAACAACTTCAGTGTTTTTAAGGCGTCCATATGGCATCTTACCACAAGTAAATATTTCCCACATTAAAACACCTAAAAAAAAACAAAAAATTATACTCCATACTAAGTTTATAATATACATATTATGTGTAAATTGTTATGCTTACCATAAGCCCAAACATCAGATTTCGAAGAAAATCTAGTGTAATTTAAGACTTCAGGAGGAGCCCATTTAATGGGAAATTTGGTACCACCAGAACTGGTATATTGATCATCGAGGACATACCTTAAAAAATAAAATAATAAATTAAACATTTTAATTTAACCATACATATTACTTACAGACATACAGTACTATTATTGTAATTATATATGAGTATGAGTTGTTTAAAATTAAGTTGATTTTATTTAGAATTATATGCAGAGGGAAATACCAAAAGAGTAAATCTTAAGTTCCACGCTTTTACAACATGCACGACCTAGTGCATAAATAAGACTTACTATTTAAAAAATAAATAATATATTTATAGTAAAGAAGTTGATAATATAAGTTTGTATGTATACAATGTATACATACATAATTATAAGTGTAATTATAATTGTAATAAGTTTTGATAAGGTATAAAATGTGTAACCTAATATTTTAAATACCTGGCTAATCCAAAATCTGCAACTTTTACAACATTTTCTGAACCCACTAAACAGTTTCTAGCAGCAAGATCACGATGTATGTAATTGTGACGTTCTAAATAGGCCATCCCCTTGCAAACCTAATGGTTAAAATAATTATTTTAGTAAAAACATGTTGTATTTAGTAATGCATTGAGAAAAGACATTTACCTGAATACACATGTCAAGTAATAAGCCATTGTTGCCTCCTAAACTATTTTCATGCCGCCTGAGATAATTCAGCAGTGATCCATGTCTCATATACTCGGTAACTATATAAATTGGGCGATGTTTACTACAAACTCCATAAAGTTGGACTAGATTCTGGTGTTGGAGTTTCCTGAATAAGGCAAGTTAAAATATAATAAATATGGTTGGATTAGGTATGGTTACTTTGTATTACATTAATTGTAATACAACGGTTTAGTGTTTACTTGACTTACGTCATGACTTTGGCTTCTTCAATAAAATCATCTTCAGACATTGTGCCTTCTTTCATCATTTTGACTGCTGTGTCAATGGAACCTTTCCATTTACCATGACGTACCACACCAAACTGACCTGATCCTAGTTCTTCCAACAACATTAGTTCTGCAGGATCTATTTCCCATTTGTCTAAAAATCAATATAAATAAATAACTGAAAAGTTTAATAAATATAGTTTTAACTTTTACCATGACTAAGGCCAGCTGTAGCAGGAACAGGACGATCACAAGGAGAAGCTTTTAAACGTGATGCTAATCCCCCACTGTTGTGACGATGGTAATTAATTAATTCTGGAATAGTTGAACAGCAATGTTTTTCGCTTAGAAAAAAATCTCCTCGGCTATTTTGCTTAATGTGATAATGCTTCACGTGAGAGTGTGGCCTGCAATAAAATATATAATAGTATAAAAGTTAGTTAAAATAAAAATATAAATAAACAAGAGGTTAAACATAATTAATATTTCAAATCCATACAATTAAAAACAGATATCAAATAAAAATTATATATTTTATATAAAATTAATATTAGACAAAATGTGTGGCCTCTCCTATTTTGTTATTCTTTGTGTATAATCACTTTTTTTTTCTTTTTTAACAACTGATAGAAAAATATTATTTGTAAAAATAAAAGGTGTACAAAAAGTAATGAAACTTTTAAATTACTTACACTTTTGTGAAAAGAGATAGTGTATAAAGACCCTTGGTTGACGAATTTCTAACAACAAAACATCCTTCTTTATCCTCTTGTTTGAGAAGAGACTCAGCTCTCTGTCTTGACATATCTCCAACATACCATCTTAAAATATAAATTGTACGATAAATATTATGAACATCAAACTTGTTTTACATTAATAATACAACTATAAATGATGCAAAAAAGTTTTTATACATATTATAATTAATTAATAAACCATTAGAATAAAATATAGTTACCTACTTATTAGTTATTACAACTACCTAAACAATTTTTCTGGTGATCTTAATTATGTTATTGCGACTACTACAGGTTAACATAGAGTTATATTATTTTAAGATAATTAAGTAATCAACAAGACAAAATAATAAAGTGTTAGGCATATGCCATCAAACTAATTTCGTACAACACGCATAGATACTGGCTTAATTTTTTTTATAGGACTTTACATTACATTTATTAAACATCTGTTTTTAAGTATAATTTGGATTTTTGACCTACATATTCATCACTTCAAAAAGATACTATTGAAAACTCACAGCAATTTTTCATGTCATGGTAAATCACAGATTTTTTAGGTGAAAAGGCAGCAATAAATTGGTAGTTGGTTTGTTGGAAACTGAACATCGCTTTTATAGGTAGTAGGTTTGGTAGTAGGTTGTAGTTTTATTTGGCAGACCTACTTATATTATTTTATCTTGTAGATAACAAAATTGTCCTAAAATAATATAACAGTATTAACCTGGTGTAGTACTGTAGTCACAATCAGAATTGAGCTGAGAACCGGAAAATTGTATGAGTAGTCATGATAACCGATAAGGCAATAAGTACATATATATATATATATTTATATATATTCGACAGTTATAAGCATAATAAATACAAAACAAATGTTCAAGCAAAAATAAAATTCTTTTTTTATAGGATTGTTTAAAATTTAATATTTAACTGTATACTGCATTTAACTATTTCAGTACTCACTCATATTTTTGAAGACCAAGAAATTCTTTTTCTTTAACATAATTACTAGGAATGTAGCCAATAGCACTGTAAAATGTTTAAATAAAATTACAATACATCTCAATATTGGAGACCTAAAAGTATATTATATTTGCTTACCCATGCTCATCTCTTACTTTCCACCAATGATCTTGAGAATCATCAATGACGTCATATTCACATCCCTAAAAGGTTTTTAATTTTATTAACTCAAATAAAGCAACAAGTTAAATATTAATATAACAGTATATTAACAACATATTACATTAATGTAAATATGAATAATATTTTGGCTTACTTTAACTAAAGTCAAATCTCCTGGTTCAATTGCTTTAAAGGGATAGAGAGCAGTCACTACCTTAATTCTTGGTACTTGGTCCTGATGATAATGTAAAATAAATAAATGTAATTTATATAAGAACTTGTATTTTGAATTTATATTTTGTATTTTAGTATATTAAATGCTTACTTTTAGCTTAGCAGCTGGGGTTCCACCTGGCATTATTGGGCTTGCTGTTAATGCTGTGAACAAATATATATTTGTAATTAAATATTGTATTCCACAAAATATATTATCATATTATAATCTTTAATCATAACATTGGTAATCTAAATAAAATTAGATTATATCTGTTAACTTAAATATAATGGGGTCAAATAGAATTGGATTTGTGTTACCAGTCATGGTGAATTGACCTCAACTAAGCAGAAGCAACTACCATGTAAATTTCACTTGGCTTATATTTTACACTAAGGCTCAGAAATTATATCACTAAATAACTTATAAAACTGGTTGCAATATTGTCGTAAAAAATGTACAAAATTGCTATCATTATTTTTATTATATTATAATACTCAATAATAATGATGAAAAAAAAAAATCGTAATTTAATATTTAAAAGCCTTACACAAAATCGGTCAGAAATATTTTATTGTATATCCAGCACAAAAACATATTTATGTTAAAAGAAAAAATTTAACTTTTTAATTTAAAAATACATAAGCAAAAAAATATTATATAACCTTAAAAATTATTTATTTATTTATTTAAATTTATGGACACTTTATTATTTATACTTAAATTTTTCAGTGAAACAGACAGTTTTAGTAATACGATGCAAATACATAACCAAAATTTCAGTAAAAAGAAAACCATTAACAAATTCTTATATGCAAAAAAATGGATTTGTTGATTACTTAGCAGAAAAATAAACTGACGGGAAAACAAACACGCAATTGCAATTTTTCCCATGATTATAAATATTAAAATGCATTAAATTTTTAGCACTTAAAAAAAAACCACGAAAATATGAAAATATTTTTCGTTACACACTTCATGTTGATTGATTCATGACATAATATTACTTATAATATGAATTATGAAAATACATTTTAACTTTTTTATTTTAATTCCATACAGCTGCATTTTTTTGTTAGTTTACACAATTTTTAACTGATTGTTCTATATTCTATTTATGGCTTGTTTCTAAAAAATAATTCGTAATTAGATAATCATATTTTTGTATAATTTAAAATTATACATATTATATATAAAATTTATGTATTTCGTTAATGTAGGTATCTAATTTGTTGATGTTCAAGCTGTTATCAAGTTGTCATTATAATATTGGGAAAATTAGAACATTGCGACACGAATAATGTCATTTTGTTGTAATTTTACACGGAAAGAACACAGTCACGAACTAGTCGATGACATACAATTTCCACTATCGATATTTCAAAACGAAAAAGAATAGTACCTTGTGCCTATAAAAATATATAATACATTTGTTGGAGAACAACTATTGTTTTGTTCCAATATAATAATCATAATAATAAGATCGTCCGTCTACAGTCTAGACCTCTTTACTCGTATAATCGTTGGTTTCTTTTATATTTTTAGACGCGGATCGGTGGACCATATTCCGTCTGTTACCTTTACCATAAACAGAACAGAATACAAAGTCATTCACCTGATGTAACGCCTTTCCCACTTTTTTTTTTTTCGTTTCTTAACCATCTTCTTTCTCTATCTTATACCCTAAGATAATACAATATGTCAGTGATGTACACTGCACACTAGCGCATTATGCAAAGACAATTACGCCTTTATGTGAACGATGTATAGGGAAGAGGAGACAAGAGGTGAAGCCCAAAGACCATATTATGTATGTATATAGTATATATGTATGTATGTATGTATATGTGTGTGTATGTGTGCATTGTCTCAAACAGAGTTCCAAATATATAATGCGCCCTATTCTTGTATGCGTGTACGGAGTATCGAAATAAAATACAGCTGTGTGTGTGTTTCAATGAAGGAGGTCTACAAATATTTTATTTATTTGTTTTTTTTTTCACTCGGAATAATATCCCTCCTACCGTCGCATGAAAAAGCATTACTCAATTATTCAGGAAAAAAAACGTAGCAGTCGTAAAATAATGTTGGTGATACTTGTGGAAAGAGTAACACAAAACAAACCACAAACAATATTAAATCCAACCTAAAGACACGGTTTCATCACATAATATTATATAGGTACGAACATAATAAACAAGCTGTACATTCAAATAAATAAATTAAATTACTGAATATTAGTGAGCACGCACTATGAAAAAAAATAATCAATGATGACTGTATAAAATGATAAATAGTTTATATAACTTGTAAATATGATGTTCTGAAAAAAAAATTCCCATAAATTGATTTAAATTACTGTATTATTTTATTTAATACAAGCTCTTCAATATAAATATAATTAATTAATTAGATAACAATTAGGTTATAAATAACATTGATTTTGAATTGTACTCAATAAAATATGTTATAAGTACCTGTATACATATGTTATATATTATATTCCATTATACATATACGCATGTTTTGCTCTTAACATTTTAGTATTAACTATATTAAGTACATACTATAGTGCATATTAGGATAACATATTAGTATTTTTTAAAGCATATTACATAAGCTAGTCAGACAAAGGGTTAATAGAAATTTAATAATTATAATTTATATAGATCGAATATTGACCGGAACATTTCTTTGGTCAAATGTGAAAACATAACACATATCGTATATTTATGACTAGCCACGCGTGCCGATTATAAGTGTCTACAATTCGTTCAAATTGTCATATTTTTGTACATCGGCAATGGGAAAAAAAATGTTCTTCATATATAAACATTACGAAAATGCAATAAGTAAATAAATATTGACTACAAAATTAAACTATTTATAAACATTATTATAATTTATTATGCTTTCGTCTTTCTGAATTAATCAGCATAAGACCATATAATAATATAGTACCTGTATATATTATGTTAATATCTATACCGTTTAAACATCCACCTCAAAGAATCAAATAGTCAACCAGATAATAATATTCTTTACTTGCAAATTCAAAAATCATGTAAATTTATAATTACGATAAATTTAACGAAAAATGTTATTACATTTTTTAAAAATTGTTAATGATTCAATAACTAACTTAAAATATAAAGTTCACTTGCAAAAGTATTACCTACGCAATGACATAATATGTAACTATTCTTGATTAATTGTTATATATATATATATATTTTAATCTAAAACTGCATATTATTATCAAATTGTGCAATGATGAAAGTTTTGAGACTGTGATTTAGTTGCAATATACTGTTATATTATGACAATTGACAATTTAATATGTATTTTATGTACAAATAAAATACAATTGATAAACCAAAGTTTGCCAATGTCAGAAGTCTATGCTTTTGAACACACACGCTAAAATAGTTACCTACCTATTACAATACTTTATAATTAATATGATGAAAAGAAATGTTCACAAATAATAAAATAAAAGGAGATTACGTTATACCTATTAACTCTATATAGCCTATATCCGCCATTAATGAACAGGAAATTGAAGAAATGTAGCAAACGAGGGGGCTATACAACTAATATATGCATAAAGTGTTCGCGTGTTTGCTAATATAAAATTATTGCCGAGGAGAATATAATTAATGTAATGAATATGAGGGGAATAAACACCCGGTATAAAATTACATTATTCGATGACTCACTGAATTCAAAATGTTTCAATGAATAAATATCACAAACGTGCGCTACCAAGTATCAAATAAATTTATAGTTCAGCAGCGAAAAAATACAGTTTCAAATTATAATAATAACAAGTAATGTTCATGATGTTGAGATGAAACATTAAGCAATATGATTTGTTACATTCATATCCTATCATTAATTTCCAAACAGCGATGTAACAAGTTAATAACAAAATAGTTGTATGTAGTAGGTCTGAACGTTGAAACACAACATGGATGTTCTCGTATACAAGTAAACAAATGTATATTCAATTTAAAAACTATATGATAATATGGCTACCAAAATTAGTTTTTGGTTTAGAAATATAATCTCAGTATGGTTAATATGAATTATAAAAGTAGTATAGCCGTACTGGCGGTATAGTAAGAGTATTATTAATAATCAATAGAACAATAAAATATTGAAATAAAAATTAAATAAATAAGTTACATTTTCTATTAGGTATTCTAAAAGATACTTATTTTTTCCACATACAGTGTGGGCATCGTGTTTTAACACAGGAAAGCGGGAAAATGTTTGCAAACGAGTAAAAATTATTGCAGGAAGATGCAAAATAAACTCACTTTTTCGGGGAAAAAACGTATAAAAAGAATTTGAGACTCTCAGTTGACAAATTACTATAACAAAGTAGCTAAGTACAATGTACTTAAATTACTGTAAATCAAACAAACAAAACTATAATAATGTACCTGATAAAAATCGTAATAAATACAAAGGAGAAAAATGAATATATCATTAAGGTAAAATTTATAATTAAAATTAATATATGCCCATTTTTTACGTTATTTTAAAGCTACGGTTGACCAAGTTTCTAGATTTCTCAATTCGATAAGGTTCAAAAAAATAGTTAATGACGACAATAATAATAACAAGTTTTATTAGGTGTACCACCAACTGCATTAACTAAGTGTTTTGCCATCTATGTAGTATGTACTATAATACACTGGTATATTTCACTAGTTCGATGGCACGAAAATTTAAACGCCTCAAAGCGATTTTTGTTCCCAAGATTATGGATAAAAAACATTGTGTACCTAAGAAATTATGTATCGGTCAACTAGTCACGATTAACACTACCAGGCTATCATCATTATTAACAACAGTTAGGTTACAACACGAAAAATAGAAAACCAGTACTTATCGTCGTAATAACTATTTTGAATAACTTCAAATAAATACAATAAATTCTAGTATAAAATAATGAAAATAATTGTCAGTTTTAAATGTAATATGCAGCTTGTGAGGGAAACATAATGGTTAAACATTGCCTATACAAAACCTTTATTACATAATAGTATAATATAACGTATGGTTATATTATTAATAAACATTGAAGAATTTATCATATATACCTACATGATACATTTAAATTTTAACTAATTATATTAATTTAATATTTTAAGAA